CAAGTATTAATTAGTACATTCTTTGAGCATCCATGCTGGATTCACTCCTTTCTGGTGCATTTTCATGCATTTTAGGTGTGTTATTAACAATTATACGTTTTCATGCACTACCTTTTTCATCAATCAGTTATATGCTGGCATAACTCAAACCCATAATTATTGTGGACAAAAAACAAAATGAACTTTCAGTAATATCAGCTAAATTCATCACATGATCACTAATTTAAAATGTATTGTTTTTAGTTTGGGGGGGGGGCAGGTGTGATTACTTTTTCCTTATTTCGCCATCCTGAGGTTCACTGCCGAGTGACATCAGTGTGGGACTATGACCCAGTGATTGCTTGGGGCACAGAGAACTGAATGGTCACCAGTTTGCTGCATTGCTATGTGCACTAGATGGAACCCTGCACAGTACTGACTTCAGGAGAAGAAGCAGCAGCCATTGTAAGAGGATTCATGGACATGTGGTTACCCCTTCTAGATAGCAAGGCTGTCCCCCAACATTCAAAGGATAGATTCTCTGTCTCTATGACACTGACATGTCCCAACCGTGAGAGATTGCTCAAGCGCCTGTATACATGGAGAGTGTGACCTGTTGCCTTGTAACCTAACTAAGCTACTACTCTGATGAAGAATGTTGACTCTGGTACTAACACTCTGTAATGTTAAAGCTGTTCTGAAGTAAAGTTGCAAGTTATTTTGCAATTAAAACCTGATGGGACAGGTAGTTGACTTGCTAAAAATCTTCCACTGCCGTGGTCAGAATAAATGGGTAACACCAAAAAGCCTTGTGCTTGGTTGTTTCATGGGCCTTGGGGTGCAGTGGAATACTTTGGATCAGTGACTGGAGATACTAACCATGCTAGGTCTCTCGTAAGTGTAGTTTTCTTGAAGTCAGCACTGTAGTCATGAGTAGGTAAGCCTTGAGATAGGAAGATTGCCTTTATGCAGATTTTAGCCTTAATGAACTTCAAAGTGGGGGCACATTATGCATGCGTGTCGTATGTCTGCTACATGAGGTAGTAAGTGAGTAGTTGATCGTCGTCCGAATTGAAGAAGGTCATGTTGGAGCTGGATTGTCCCGACCCCTGCAGAGGGGGCATCCCTCGCTGCATTTCCTCAGCACACAATTTGGGGTGGTGTTATACACACTACAAAAGTAAAGGGCTTAGTATCTGAATGTCCATGTGCTCAAGCAAGTGGCCACTACATGCACGCTCTCTGGTAGAGCTGTAGTGAGATAAGAGGAACAAACAAACATCTTCTAAATGTAATAAACAAATAGGGCTGCGCCATCTATATAGATAATCACAAACTATTAATGTACATAATGTAAGGAAAAATGTACCCCCAATTTACATTATAAGGATATTAGGAGTAGCCAAATGTACAGTGGCTGTAAAATTGCAATTTTCCATAATCCCTTTCTCCCTTTGTGTCTGGACACAAGTCAAAGGTGTTTAATAGTCATGCAGTTTACAGTACAATGTACCATGTACATCTCCAGCTAAGGAGAGGTGAGAACAGACAGAGAAAGGGAAACTTGTTACATTGTACCCAGGTGCCAGTTTGCTCCCCTCTTATTACCCTATCCCACATAAAGGTGTGGCTATCTAAAAAAAAGTTTAAGTATTCACTCTGACATTTGCAAAAAAAGCTGACACACATTTTTTTTTGATACACTGGAAATACATTTCCTTTTAAATGCAGAAGATTCTCATCCGGAAATAATTTCATTGAGGAAGTTTAACACTTGTAAATATGTCATTCTTAATCTTGCCTAATTTTACAAAAACTATAGTACCCCATACCTAGTTTAAAATGGCTAACTACATTCCAATGCATTCAAACAAGAGGTGTCCAAAGCCTCACAGTTTGTTTTCTTTAAAAAGCAGCGACAGCTCTGCTAGAAAAGTCTGTCTCCTGCCAGCACGTTGCAGTGTAAGCCCTTTGCATTATGTGTGGAAACAGTGGTCTCTCTGAAGAGTTCTGACACACCCACTTATTGAGTCAGAGCCAGAGCTCTCCAATCAGCAAGGAGCATGAATTTGTTGATTGAAGAAGTCTAGCACTTTTTATACAGGGGGTGTGGTGGACCACTGTTCCAAAACAGAGAGCAAGCGTCCTTCTCTGCAGCATGCTAGCTGTGGATAGGCTTTTCTGCTCAGGCTTTGGCTGCTTTATACTGAAAGCACACTGTAGGGCACCTTTTGTTTTGAATAGGTTGTAATAAGGTAATAAGGTGTAATTTAGCTGATATAAATAGAAAGTTCAAATGGGCTTTAACATTCTAATTTACAGTAACTTTCAGTATACATGTATCAGCTTGAGTAATCAAAACATGCCAATCGCAATTGATTACAGTAAGAACTCATTCACACAGGTGCTGTAGCCCATACATCATGAATTGACTGTTTGTTTCTGTGACTGGAGCTGCCAGGAGCTGTGTGACTCTTTTTACGTCTATAGAGACGTAGCACTGTATGGACACAACCACTCATCATAATTTGACAGGTGTGCAGGGATGGGTGATTTTTCCAGAACATCGACTATCTACGTTCAGGACCGCTCACCTTTGCCTGCATGCCTGTCATAGGATGAATGTCTGTCTCTGTATAGCCACTTTGCTTTAGCTTTCTTGCTATAAGGTTTACAAGTTCTATAATTGACCCTTTTAGGTCAAGTATATTTGTGAGGAGGTTATGATTAAGCATGAGATCATGTGAGAAGAGGTCCTGTATTCATGTCCTGGTGTTTAGTGTGTCCTATGGATCAATAAATACACACTATATTCATCTATCCTCCGGTGTACGGCTGACCCTTCTTCCTATTGTATTTGTGGGGAGGTGCAGTGTGGTGCGGCAGTAATACACAGACTCCGGTTGCAGTAAAACTTGGAACTTGTATTAAACAGAATGCCAGGATTACAAACACCCTGGCGGGATAGCGCTGATAGGTGAATAACTCCCATTTCAATGTAGTTGTCAGATGGGGAAACAGCTCTCATTGTTTGAACACTGATAGTGTGGAGTAAATTAAATGTTCTGGAGTGACATTCTGCGGTTTAGCCACAAGATGTCACTGTTTTTCTAACACAACCTCAGACTGCATAGATATTTCTATATTCAATAAGAGGTGGGGTTTTCACATGGAGTTTAGTGAACAGGAAGAGGAGACTACAGCCATGTTTTGGACGATGCTGAATGAAGGGGCCATGTGAGCTGAGAATCCGATGACATCCAGGTGAGAGTGCATCCCTCAGTAACCAGAGCTGCGGCTAAGTGAAGCTGATCGTGTCCAAGTCCCTGATCCTGTTCAGAGAAAGGAAGATTGCTGCCAGGCATGCTGATGAGAGCAGAAGAACAACGCAACATATACTGCGATATCGCATGCTTGTTGGAGAGACATTTGTTCTGTTCAGAGTCACCAGCGGATGCAAAGCAGACCCGGGTCGGTAAGATCGTGCACGCACCTCATTTCAGTGTTGGCACCTATAGACTGAGACCAGGCCTATAGTTAGTTAGTTAGGGTCTCTGTTTGTGTCAGGCCACAAGTGTTGTTACTGATCATTGGAAGGACTTCATAACTTAAAGTGACATTTCACATTGGAGAGCTGAAAAAATCCCACAAACTCAAGCCAGACTGGCATTTTGCTCAGAAGGAATACTCAGGCACGTGGTACAGGACCAATTATGGGAGGGGGAATACTGTAGATTTGTGTAAGATTGTAAGCTGTTGTGCTGCACCGCAGGCTAGCCCATACCATACACCCATACACTGATTCCTGCTCTTTTAGGGTAATAACAGGTAAGGTGTGGCAGCTTAGTTGTGCCCGCCAGTAGGTAAATTACTACACTTTCTACCTTCATCCATCAGAAGGCGCCGTGCTGTGCAGCACAAGGGTCTCAGCCTTTAGGCTGGGTGTATATAAATTTATTGTATGTTACCAGAATTTGTGGTTGTGTTTATTTGCCACATCTAAGTAAAACTCTGTTGTGGCAAAAGCTGGTGTTGGGGTTGCTTTCCTCGTTTGTGACTTCACTGTATCCTGGGGAGCCCACCCCAGTACACGGCTTACATAGTCAGATGTGGCAGAGAAGAGATGCCAACAATGTCTGTTTCAAAGGGTGAAATGCAGCCTGGCAGGTCCAGTCCCAAGAGGTAAGCTCTTTCCAGGACAGCAAGTCCCTAACCTGTGCGTTCTTGTCAGGAACCTTTCCCTATCGTTAGTTACTTTCCCTACCAAGTGGGGGTCTCTCTCTCTCTCTACACTAACCACGCACAAGAAGTGCCAAAACCTGGGGGCAGGGACTTAAATAGACCCTGCTGACCTAATATGGCTGACGAGGGTCACATGGACACAGCATTGCCAAATGCTCCATTGACCCAAGAAACCATAGAGAAATGTTTCCTTGGACTTCCTCTCCAGGCTGATGTGCCACTCGGTTTGAGTGCCACCTGCAGTGGTGGAATCAAACTGCATCTGCCTACATTATAGCAAATGTTATTGTATGAACTGCTGCAGTTGTGAAGATACTGATATAGGCCTATGCCTATGAAAGTTTGAATGCTATTTCGGGTGGTAGGCACTTCGAAGAAACAAAAATTAGAAAATCCATAAAAATAAATGCACATTAAGTTCTTTGCCATCATGTGTGTTTTGTGAATTCTAATACCTAAGGGGGTGCTTGACACGTCTCCTACACTGAGTGCTCCCTAAGCACAAAAGCTCAGTCCACATACTGTAAGTAGAATTAGTGAGGTGTTAGCTTGACATAAGGGGAGCACACCTGAAGCTGCATACAAATATAGACTTTCCCCTAGTATGCCCCATTGGTGTCATGCTTCCTGGCACTTGGTCAAAAGTCACGCTTCTACACTTCCACATGCGAGTCCTATAAAACATATGCAGACAGCATATTTGCAGTTACACAATGCTGTCCATGTAATGTTCACATTCTCAAACTTCATCTAAGACCAATTTGTCTCATGTTTTTCAGCTGCTAAATGAACTGAGTGTTGTGGAAGCAGAATTGCTGTTGAAATCATCAAACCTTGCAGGAAGTTACACAACGCGCCTGTGTCTGTACATTGTAGCGGTGCTAAGACGATACCACGCTTGCCTAATTTTAAATTATGAACAGACAGCACAAGTTTTTGAAGGGTTTGTACTGCGCTCATTTTCTTTCTCTGCTTGTTTGTTGATATTGTTTTCAAATGCCCAAAACCCAACCAATGAAAGTGTGCAGAAAAATATTCCTATCGTGTACCAATGCACTTTTTTAGATGCGTTTTCTCTGTGTGTTATTTAGACAACCCTCTTTTTGCACAACGTTTTTCACAGCTCCTTTACTAAAACGTGCACAAAAACGTACGTGAAGCACATTTACATCTGCGTATCTGTCTATGCATTCCCTAAGCAGGATGCATTAAAGCACACATACAAGAACATTTTTATAAGAAAGTAAAGCTGGCCATAGATTATCCAATTTTCTTTCCCTCAACCACGGGTTGAAGGAAAGAAACCTGTGTGATTCCCCCATGAATATAGTCAATGTTGATGGGGGAATCCCTCCCACTGCACTATTGGGAGGATTCCCAGCCATGAGAATACAATAATCACTGCTGTTGGCTCGACTTCAGTCCAACCAGCCTGCCCATGGATGGATAAAATTTCAGATGGTTCCTGCTGAAGCGGACAAATCTCAATCTGTCTATAGTTGGCTTAAAAATCGTTTGCCTGCATTAAAATCATGTCCAAATTGCAGGTAAAATGCACAGGTATAAACAGGGCTGCTGTTAGAAAATATGGGGCCCCATACAGCCAACCTGAAAGCCCCCCCTCCCCCCAAAAAAACCCCACAGATTACTATGCTTCAGTTATGACTGAACACAGTGAGTGATTGGTACCAATCACTCATTGTGTTCATTTAGGAAAATAAGGGGCTTTTAAATGTGACATATTTACTGGACCCTTTCCCCACTCTTGTGAAGGATCCTATTGTGTGCTTACAGCTGCCAGTGGGAAGGAAAGGAAGAAAGTTGGCAGCACATAGGGGGGCCTGGGCAGCAGGGGGAAATGTATGGTGTACAAGGAGGGTGATGGGTGTGGTGGAGGGGCAATTACTGGAACTGATCCCTTGTATGACTCTCTTTGCAGCAGCTGAAAGCCAGCAGGAGGGAGAAGAGAAGAAGCCAGATTTTAGGTGCTGCCGAGAGAGCCATACAGGGGATCAGTTCCAGTAATTGCTTTCCCACCTTGACGATCACCCTACTTGCCCACATCTGATTCCCCCTGCTCCCTGGGCCCTGTACAAGAGGACTGGTGGTACCCCCTTATCCACTGCCCTGGGTATAAATAGGCAGTAAAGCTGGCCATTGGTGGATAGAATATCAAACAAAAATTCTTAGGAAAAGTCTTAAGAAAATTTGTATAAAAATTCTCAGAATATTTTTTGTTGTTTGAAAGACTTTGTTTGCTTTTAACATTTAATTTTGGAATGAATATAGTTTACCAAATGAAAACCGCATACACTATTAGAATTTTGTTAATTCAAGAACATTTTTCCACGCTCCTTTGAATTTTCTCATCTCTGCAGTAGAAAACAAACATCGATCTGACCCACTATTGATCATAATTTGTTTTGAACCTCTGTTTGTTTTTTCCTCTGTGCTTCTCTGTGCACTCCTAGCAGATTATGGTTGTTGGGAGGGGCCAGCAGGATGCTGTACATAGCTTCCTGAAAACATTACAGCCTCAGTACTCCATGGAAGTACTCCCCAGTTCTTTTGCAAGCAGTGGGATGGCTCTTGGGAGAAGTTATGCTATTATCAAAATGCCTTGATGGGTAATGCCAGTCTGGAGGAGTGTGTGTTCATAGGTTGCCGATTGCTGATTTTGCCCTTCTTTCCCTATCCTTAGTGGTGGTGGAAGGGATTGTAGAGCAGGGGGAAGACTGCTAACCTCTGTAATCAGCATTTCTGCAGCAAAGAATCCCTACAGTAAATCTTGCTCTGCTATGTGTGATTACATGACATGTATCCAGGGGAGTGGATTTAACCAGGGGGTTGAAGCGCATGCAAAATGCATCATACTTGCATTTTCATGCACTTATATTGACTTTTGTGGCCCTACAAATGTATGAAACTGGGATCAAAATTATGCTACATCACAGCGCACAGATGTAAAGAGGATCTGTTAACATCGCCATTAACTGCACATGCATTTTCACATTTTCCAATGTGCATGGTAAAATGCAAATGTGTGAACCAGGACTAAGAGTTAAAGTGGAACTAAAGTCTGCAATACTCACCTCTCCTTCAACAATCCAATGTCTCTTGCTGGTGTCTACATCTTCTAACTGGCTTCTTCGGGTGTCGGGATGCAGCTATCTTCATTGGCTGGCATGGGATGATGTCACTCCTGCACATGTGCATGTGCAGCTCAGTGTACATTTTAAAGCAGACTATGAGCAGGCAGGTAGTTTCATTGCGGAAGAGCCCATCTCCTCACAGTGGTTTAATTTAAGACTTTAGTTCCACTTTAATTCTTTAATGACACCAGCAACATTGGAATACACCAGTACGATATGGGGAGTGAACAAATCACCATTTTGTTCCTTGTTTGTGTCATCAAGACACATTATATTGTGATGAAATGTTGGTTATTTAAAGTAGAATTCAAGGAAAAACCTAACTACTAAAAAAGAAAGATGTGTATACTTACCTAATTTCAATCCACTACGGTCCAGCTCACATGAGAGGAGAGAGTGCTCAATAACAGCTGGTAATGCCTGGGAGTGGTGACGCCACCCATAGACTCCTATGGCCCATCTACTGCCGATTCTCACTCTCTCTCCCATCTAGCTGCCGCTGGCTGACAGAGGGGAACTGGATCATGTGACCAGACCAGAGCGGCCTGAAAAAAGGTATGAATACAGATATTTCTTACACAGCTTAGTCAGAATCAGTGTTTAGAGGGGAAGGGAGCGTTTCCAAGATTAGTTGGCTTTTGCTTTGAATTCTACTTTATCTGTAACACAATGATTCCACACTTATACAGCATATACTGTGTAACCCTCTCTGCTTTATTTTTGTGGGTGTAATATGATGGCTATACACATTATTGCTTGCAACATATTCAATCAATGTGCATTCATGGATGCACAGTCCTCCCTGGTGGTAAAGGATAATTGACTTTGAGAAATTGTGTAATTGTGTAATTGAGCGTAAACAGCTGTATAATTTTGTTAGGAATCTTTGTTACTTGACTGCTGGGGATAAATTCATGATAAACTGGTATAAGGAGACATTTGATCTTTGAGTGCACATTTGAATGTTTGTGGGAGCAGAAGGATATACAATTGATCACATATACGTTATGCTGTGTAAAGGGCTCTGCTAGATTTTAATGTGTCTAAAGATGTTTTGGTACATTGAATAATGTATATGTAACAAAAAATGTCACGTTATATTGTTTACACTACAGATATACTGTAGTTATAACATTGATTATCATTACATTATTGATACTATGTGCCATGTGATATGCCTATTGTATGTTTTAGACCCTCAGGGTTGCATCATTTTATTGCATTTTCTTTACTGTTTTAAAGAATGTAATAAAATATACACTTATGTTATTCATATATGACCTAATATATTATTTAAATCATTCTATTCACATTTTTGATGAGTGAGCCATACACTAAAGGTTGGTTTTGTAAGTTTATTTCAACAATTGCATAAAAATGTAAGCAAGAGTTATATTTGTCAATCCAATATAAGCTTCCTGAAAATTTTCTTTTCACGTTGTGAGCTTTGCCTATCTGCTGGCCGTCTTTCCACAACTTCCTAGATTACCTGCATGCTTTGCAGCTTCTTCTCTGCTGTTCAGAAGGCAGCCTCTGTGAAATCTTCACAAAGTAAGTCTACAAACTTCAAGATCAATCAGACTAATAGGAGGAGGCTAGAAATAATTAAAACGGCAGTAAACACTGCTTGCTCATTTGCGCCTACTGGTAAGCTTATAATAAAGCTGCAAGGAATATCTCTCCAAACGTGCATTACTTCTGCAGCCAGTGACACCATTTAGAATGTTGTGCCGTGGCTGTGGCTCCCGTGCTCATGCGCAGAGTGACGTCATCGTGGTTTGAGCATTCAAACAGATGAACCAGTAAACTTGGAAGGAAGACTGGGTGAAGTATGTTGCTGGAAGGCTTTATTTTAGGGTATATATTGCATAATGTACTAGGATGTGCTGCATACTAACACATTATGCCATTACCTTATAGGGGTAAAATACAATGTGGGTAAAATACAATGTGGAAATGAATATATGATTTTACATTATGACCCTAGCAAAAGTGTGCTTTTGAAATGTATTCCTAAAGAGATACAATATGCTTTAATTTCAGATTGTGTGGTGTAGTAAAGCATGTAGTCAATCCCTCAGAATGCTCCTCTCCAGAGAGATGTATTTTGGCTTATCTGTATGATCTGTATATGTCATGTAGCCATATAAGAAGTAAGTTTGGAGATCTTTTCAGGTGAGTAATATATGATTCAGTATATAATTATTAGCTGTATATAGTGTTCTGAGGACTTCTCTAGAAAAAAAGTGCAGATGTTGTTGCCAGCTCCATCCAGTCATGTTCATGTGAGCAGTTTGGCAGTTTGTGTCTTATTGGCTTGCTTGGGTAACTTCTATTTTCTGTAAGATTGTGGTTTACAGATACTCATGCTTCTTCAATAGCTAATGGATAATGCTAATCAAATACAGACACGCTTAATTTGCAGATAGATTTGATAATATGTAGGCACAGTTCCTTAATTGCTGTGTTCTGTAAATCCTGTTTATCCCTGTGCTCTCGTCATGTTTTTTGTAGAATGTGTGTATCTCTCATCATTCATTATAGTGGACCCAATGACTTTTCCTGGTTCTCAGCCAGGGCTTCAGTTCATGCCTCCAGTCAGTACCTCTGCACCACTTTCTGTGCCTTGCTCATAGATGTGTTTTATATATTAAGCCACCTAATGAACACCAAATGTGTCTTGTCCTGTTTGTTGGATACCTTGGACTTTAAACATATCCAATTTAAAGTGTTTATAGCAGTTAACTGCTGTCTGTAGTCAACCTGAGTAATGTAATAGTAACAGTATTTCCAGAATCTGTGTTTAAATATCTGATGATGGTGGTCAAAGAACAGCCATGCCTGTGCATTCATTTATCTATTCTAACCCCCCCCCCTAAAAAAGGAATGGAATGGGGAACATGCCACCAATATGTCATGTTGTTGTGCAATAGGAAAGCATGCACCTTGTCTGAACACTGCATATACATTTTAGCAGTCTGTGTCTCATTAATGTATTACCGATAACTCTCTCTGTTCTGTGCTTTGTTCTCTCTCCTTCCTCTGTGTGTATGTTTCAATGCCTGTGTAACCTGTGGACAGCCTGCCTTATTAGCTGATCTATATGTTTATATAGTTAAAACAGGAAGTTTGTCAGCATATGTCAACCCCGGAAATGTTTAATTTGCAGTAAGAACATGTTGGGTATTTTAAAATTACAGATTGCAAAACGTGTATCAAATTATGTGAAATCAAAGGATCATTTAACATGCGATCTTAGCCAAACCTTTTTTTAGTATAGGATGGGGTAGGGAACCTCTGCGAGGTTTATATTGTTGCCTGTGTTCCTGGTTTTCCTTCATTGTCTGCGCTGGTGACTACTATACACTATGTGCACAATTATTAGGCAAGTGAGTATTTTGACCAAATCATAATTTTTATGCATATTGTTCAACTCCAAGCTGTATAAACTTGAATGCTTTTTGGATTTAAGTGTGTGGCCTAAGAAGATCAACACCCTATATCAAGGTGTGCATAATTATTAGGTAGCTTCTTTTCCTCAGGCAAAATAGGCCAAAAAAAGAGATTTACCAGTCAACAAGGTAGCAAGAAACATGTCAAGAAAAAAAGACGCAAATTAGCTGCCAAAGATTTGAGAAGAATCAAACGTGAAACTACCAGGAATCCATTATCCTCAAGAGCTGTCATATTCCAGAACTGCAAACTACCTGGCATGTCCAGAGGTACAAGGTGTTCACTGGTCAGAGATATGGCCAAGGTAAGGAAGACTGAAACCTGACTACCACTGAAAAAGACAGATAAGTTGATATGTCAAGAATGGGCCAATAAAATATCTGAACACAGATTTTTCAAAGGTTTTATGGATTGATGGGATGAGAGTGACTCTTGACAGACCAGATGGATGGGCCCGTGGCTAGATCAGTAACAGGCACAGAGCTCCACTTTGACTTAGCAAGGTATACTTGTATGGGCTGGTATTATTAAAGTGAGCCAGCAGGACTTTTTTGGGCTGAAGATGGACTGAAAATCGCCTCCCAAACTAACTATGGACAGCCTGCCTTATTAGCTGATCTATATGTTTTATAGTTAAAAACAGGATGTTTGTCAGCATATGTCAACCCCGGAAATGTTTAATTTGCAGTAAGAACATTTTGGGTACTTTAAAATTAAAGATTGCAAATCGTGTATCAAAAATTATGTGGTATCAAAGGGTCATTTAACATGCGATCTTAGCCAAAACTTTTTTTTAGAATAGGAAGGGGTAGGGAACCTCTTCGAGGTTTATATTGTTGCCTGTGTTCCTGGTTTTCCTTCATTGCCTGCGCTGGTGACTACACTATGTGCACAATTATTAGGCAAGTGAGTATTTTGACCAAATCATAATTTTTATGCATATTGTTCAACTCCAAGCTCTATAAACTTGATTGCTTATTGGATTTTTTTTTGGCTGAAGATGGACTGAAAATCGCCTCACAAACTAACTGCCAGTTTTTAGAAGACACTTTCTTTAAGCAGTGGTATGATATTTATGTAGGATAATGCTCCATCACATGCAACAAAGTACTCCACTGTGTGGCTAGCCAGTAAAAGGCTTAAAGATGAAAGAATGATAACATGGCCCCCTTCCTCACCTGACCTAAACCCTACTGAGAACTTGCGGGCCCTTTTTAAAGGGGAGATTTACGGTGAAGGAAAACAGTACACCTCTCTGAACAGTGTCTGGGAGGCTGTGGTTGCTGCTACACAAAAAGTTGATCGTCAATAGGTCAAGAAACTGACAGACTTCATGAATGGAAGGCTTATGACTCTTATTGAAATGAACAGTTGAAAAAAAAACAAGTGAGATGGGAAATGTTTCCTTTTTCATTTAGTTGCATAATAATTATGCACACTAATAGTTGCCCAATAATTGTGCACACATAGATATTTTCTTGAGAAAGCCAAAACCTCACTTTTACTTTCTTAAATATTCAGGGTTGAGGTTTATTAACATTTTGAATTGACCGAGAGCACTGTAGTTGCCTAATAACTGTGCAAACAATGTAACCGTGGTAGGAAGTGAGCAGACTATCCCCAGCATGGACACAGAGGTTCTACCCCTTCCCAAATCTGCTACAAATCATATTCTGATTGCTGAATGTCTCCATTAGAATGTCCCCCCCTTTTTTTTTCTGTCTCAGTGACCTCTGTCTTTCCCAACAGGGGCAGATACACTAATAAGATATTACCTACTCTATCCAAAACATTAAAAAGCCTTGGTTTTTCCATTTTAAATGCTTCCATTGTGCAAAATTTTGATAACAGTATTTTACAAGTGTGTATGGGAAAGTGTGGTGTGATATTGCCTTCCAGCTATTAAGGGGTACATGCACACAGTAGAACGAATGGCCATACTCTTGTAAATGCTGAAACTTGGATAGGCATGCCTGGGCAGTTACAAGAGTACTGGTACGTATAGCTATTCACTTAATGGCAGGCTGTACATGGCACACACAGCTCCCCCGATGTTGGATGGCACCAGGAGATTTATACTAGGCACTAAGAAATGCATATTTTAGTCTGTTTGCATGAGCCCTAAATGCAGTGTGCTGGAACGTCTGTAGAATTAAATATAGATGGCTTATATGTTCACTTATATTAAGTATTTAGTACTGGCAGACATGAAAACATTACCAGTTGATCACTGTGGGTTTAATTACACTAGAACTGTATATGAGTTTCATTCACTAGCCATATAGTCTACACCAAGATGAAATGTGAATAAAACCTAAGCCATTTGTAGAGCTGTGTAGTATTCTCATCACTGTGTCCCAAATGTGATTATCCTATATGCAGCCTACATCTGTCTGCTTCTTTGTTCTTCTTCTATCAGCATGAACAACTTCTGACTGATTTCCCTGACACCAATAGATAAAAAGGTGACAGGGGAGGGACCTCCAGCATGCAGCCTGTGATTGACAGCCTCAGCTTTGTTCCTGTGTGTTGTGTGATGTGTGGTGTGTTCCTTCTCTCTAATCAGTTCTCACTGAACTCTGCAGTATGTAATTTCAGCTCTCCACTCCATTTTCTGAACGCTCAGACAAGCTTTAGGCCCCTTTCACACAATCTGTCCGATTGGGTCTGATGTCCCTTTTTTTAGGCGGACCCATTCAGATCCTCCATTCTCCTCTCTGGAGCGGCAGATGTAAACAGACTTGTGTTCATTTAGACCCACCTTCCTTTAATCTGATCCAATCCACTAAGAACAAATGGAAGGAGATCTGTTCCTCTTCCGTTTAGCGGATCAGAGGGCATTTGGGTGTCAGTCAGCCGGTCTGTTTACAGCCGGCCGCCCACAGATCATTCTTTTTGTATCTTTAAATAGGCGAGGCTGTTGATAACAAGAGAGTGATAGAGAGACAAACCAAACATTTTCTGTAAAGTAGGTATTTTGATCTTCCCGTTTGTAGATAACAAAGAAAATAAACTGCAGTAATATTGGTGCTTTTTGTATTAACAGTAAGACAGCATAGTAACAAATAATCAACAATAATGTGGATGACTGTTATGAACTACAGAATGATCCATTTTGTAATTGACGGTTTATTTGTTAAATCAATGAATCCCCAGCTGTTATCTACACTGTACATATATTTGTATTTCCACTGAAAAGATTACATATAATGGCCAAATATCATGCATGGCAGTGCTATCATTGCACTGAGATAATATTCTGCTGTATGTCAACAACCGTTTCTCCTCTGTATGGTACTAATCAATGCCACATCAAATACACACCATTGATTTATATATTGTCACAATAAATATGAGCCATTTGTTTATATATTGTCTATCTATCTCTTCAGTAGTGCTTGTTCGAAGGTAAAGCAGACAATATACAGCAATGTACAGCCATCTAACTCTAATGCACTGTGGGATCCAGACTTCATGGTGGACTTTATAGAAAACCCATCAGTGCACAATATTAATCACTTAGTGCTGGGGAAGATCCTCAGTGAGAATGCTGCTAACCGCTACAGTTTTGTGTGCAACGTCCTCATGAATGTATGTATGGGCCACCAAGATGCTGAGAGGTAAATATCATGTTCCATATTTGAAGTGGACCTTTTAGTAATTTTACTTGTCTCCACTACTGAATTTCACAATATACAACATAATAATCCAAAAACATGGTCCTTGAGCTCCAGCCAAGTACTTTTGTCTAGGCTGAGATGCTCTAATCAGTCTGCTGCAAACAAGAGGAAGCATTTCTTTAGTCTCCTCTCCTTCATTAATCAACTGCAATTTTGTAACAAGTCACAAGAGGAGAGTCTTAAAGTACAAGCAAAGTGTAGCACTCACCCCTAAAGAAGCCGCTGGATTGTTTAGTTCCCTCTGTCCTGCACCAGTGAGGACCTGCTCTTAGGTGGATCTAAGAAAATTGATATACCTGAAAAGTTTTAAATGGGCTTTATTTATGGCAGAGAAGGGTAGGTCAGACAAGGAGAATCACACTAGAGCCAATGCATTTCATGTGGCCCTTGCACCCAGGGATTTTTTTCAACTGAAATGTGGCTCTCACCCTCCTCTCCCACTGTCACTTATAAACACAGAAGCCTTCTGTGTTTACAAGGAAAGCTTTCCTCTCATGGATCTAACAGATCCCCACCTGCTGTGCACTCACAGTGGGGGCAGATACAGGTGCAGTGTGGGATGGGGCATCACGTGGTAAACTTCACTTGGATTCTCATCTGTGCTCAATTGTACAGGTGCCAACCAATGATCTCCCTGCAAGTGAGAGAGATTGACTCAGAGCTGCCTACACTGCTGGGAGGTACTAGAGCTGGGCTGGGTAGGTGACATGCAAGTAAGCTTTTGGGGGGGGGGGGAGCGGGAGAGATGAGGACTGTGGAGTGAGATGTTTGCAGAGGTGTGGTGTCACGAATTCCCCACACGCCACGCCCACAGCGACTAGCTAACCGAGGCGCTCATGTGCGGCCGTGACTTGGGGTAAGAGGGAATAAAAGGGACTTAACTTTGAACATATAAAACCGTATATAAGACCAGCCGTGATATACTGTCACAGCCCGCACTACCGCTTGGCCACCACCTGGGGGAGACTCCACTCCAATCCAGATGGCTGACCACACACTGGGAGATACAAATCTTATATACAATCTGGTGCACTAATTAGAGTTGAGGAGCAGCTTAACAATCACACACCCTTCTAGGATCCCTCCAGCTATCCTACAGCTAGAACCCCGGAGTTAATCACTCTTCCACTGTCCACACGCCCCCACACCAGACACACCACAAATGGTAGCTGGCCACCACCCAACAGTTTATCTGCAGAACGGTCTGTTGGGACACCACACACACACAGATCTCCGTCTGGCAGATCTGTTACCTTTTACAATCTGCATGCAATCTGCCAACACGCAGTGCAATTGCATACAGATTGGCAATGAGCTTGACAGAGCATATCAAGGCACTAACATACAATACAATATAATCTCTCCGAAGATATGAGCCCGTGCTTAAGTACACAGAAGTCACTTATTAATTTTAAGATTTAATATCCCGAAAGTGGGCAGTGCATAAAATATGTACAAAGTATAAAAAGTTACAGAAATACAAAAATACAAGAAGACACACATAGACTATTCACTATAAAATAAAAGGGAATAAAACAGAATAAAACTTTTACCAAGATTTACCCTGCGACCGGAGCAAGTCAGATTCAGCAATCCATCTGTCAAATCAAACCAGCTCCATACGAATCACACTGTCCCCATGTCAGAGTCCTTAATTTATGGGGATATGGACATAGGCGGGACATTAGTTCTTGGCCAATTGACCCTGGGGGGTGTTCCTGTACCCGCCCACAGGATGTTGTGGGGGCCGAACTGCCCATAGTCAATTGGGCCAAGACCGGCTTGAATCACCAAGTCGGGGATTGGATTTCCGACACCAGCGCATCAGTCCAATCGCGATAGTACCAATCACTGTTCGGCTGTCGCAATCCAGTGCCACCTAACCATTTCCTGCATTTTTCTGGCATTCTACCTAATTCACAAATACGGTTTTTATATGCCGATGTAGTGCCCCATCAGAAGGAAGTATTTTCATCTCTCTGCAACTAATATTTTAGCTTTTATGAGGGATGAAACATACTCCTTTGACCTATGTATATTCTTCAAAGCTCTGGTCTCCCGCTGTCATGAAGCCAACCTGTCTCCAGCCGTTTCCTTCCCGGTTTCCCCAGAAGGTGACAAAATCTTTTAGCACCCAGGTGCCACTTCCAGAGGAAGCTACTCTGTCTCTTTTCAGATGTTAATTGGTGACCATCTGTGTCTGAGTACCTATGACTGAATATTTCTTTAATGACACGGAATGAACTAGATTTTCATTGTCATATTTTCTACAGGTCACATCTTATCTACTCAAATCTGTACATTTATGTCACATTTATGTCACATGTAGTATGGAGAGAGTGATGCAGAGTTTAGAGCGGAGGAGGGGTGGAAATGAGATGTGAATGAGAAAGAGAGCTGAACCCTACACACTGTGCAGAGCAGACCCCTAAATCCTGCACTCTCTATGTAGTGCACTCCTTAACCTGCACTCTGTACACAGAGCACCCCTGAACTCTGCACTCAGTACATAGGGCACCCCTGAAACTGTACTCTGTACATAGCACATACTATATATATATATATATATATATATATATATATATATATATATATATATCACATATAGCACTGCACCGTATAGCACTCTGATCTAACAGTTCAAAGAACTGGAGGGGTGCTGGGATTTGCATGATTTTGCAATCTCTAAGCCAATATTACTTCCTTTGGGAAGATTCCATTTCATAGATATTATTATACATAGTACACTTTTTTTAAATTATACATTTAATTCTTTCTGGCCTGTAATGCACAATAGCCACAACTATATGGCACTGCTTGTTTTTATTATATTAGAAATGCTCCTTCCTTCCTATGTACAGTAGCTTTATCATTGCTTTAAGACAGTGGTTCTTAACCTGGGTTCGATCGAACCCCAGGGGTTCAGTGAGTCAGTCTCGTGGGTTCGGCAGAGGTGAAGACCCACACCCGACTCATATGATTCGTGCAGTAAATATTCATTATTATGTTTTTGTTTTTGTGTGAAAATCATGTTTTAATGGTTTTGTTCTTTGTTCTTAACGGTTTTGTTCATTTTGTGCACCTATGTATAAATATATACCTATGTTTTGAATTTTAAAAATCATATTTTATTTTTCCAATTAAGAAGGGTTCGGTGAATGTGCATATGAAACTGGTGGGGTTCAGTACCTCCAACAAGGTTAAGAACCACTGCTTTAAGACCTATCCTAAACCAATGGGTCTATTGCTCAGAAGTTGTTTAGATCTGTTCTTCAGTGATCCATATTATCAGAATTGTTTCTACAGGATCTATGATATATCGAACCTGTGTGCTGAACTTACAGCTTGCTGCACTGTGCTCAGCTCGGAATGGTTGGGTGTACTTAAGGCTCTTTGCTGTTCTTCCAATCATGTGTGGGGATTTAATGACTTACTCTGCAGTGTGGATGTAAGTATTGGTCATGTGCATAACAGTTTTTGTAACATTATCATTCAATGTTCGTAACCACCCTAACTTTTTATTTTTCTTGGTCAGCAAAGAGAAAGTTATCTGTGAACCGTGTGCAAGCCATATGTTTTATTTTAGTTTTTCCATAAATTCAGTTTATACAGTAACATGAAAAATATTTAATAAAAAAGGACACCACAATTAGTTTTAATGTATTACCATCCCCAAACTCTACAGAAATTGCAGGGAAACTTGTTTTGGATAGAAAAGAACTCTGATAACCACTTTTCTGTTTGCCATGTATTGAGTATCTTCTTTTCTTCTTATCTTGAAGGTTAGTGATCTTTCATTCCATGACTCTCTGGCCACTTTTATAGCTGTCCTAATAGCAAGGCACTGCTTTCCACTTGAGGATGTGGTTCAGCATGTCGCTCTCCCCTCCCTCCTTGCAGCAGGTACTGTGACTAAATACTAGAACTGTAAAGCTTTTCAAGTTTGCAATTGTGTTTTTTATTTACACCAAAGTGGAACTTTGGACAGAGAAAAACACTATTTCATCTAGTTATGAATTAATTAAATAGTTAAATCTCTTTATTCATACAGCTTGCAAAAGTATTTATGATATCAACCTTTTATGATTCTCTAAACAGCGGCACCGTTCAGTGCCACAAACATTCATAAATAAAATTGAAAAAAGACTTATTTTCAATGTAACAATGTATTTAACTATTTGAAGCTACCTGTAATTACAGTGAATCGTCATGCACAGTTTTTCAAGGCTGTTAGTTAATTAGCAATGATGACTGATTAAGAGATTCCTTTCTTCACAGCTTGCGGTGATCCTGATGCTGAGCCTGGAGCTAGAATGACATGCCGCCTCCTGCTCCATCTACTAAAAACACCACAGTTTAGCCCAATGGGGACAACAAATGGTAGGTGTTCACATATTTTTACAGTAAAATAAATAAATCTACTAATGTTCCTATTAGCTATATTTAAACAAGAATATAGCAGTGGCTCTTACAGGATTTTTTCCATTCCGAACTCTACTGTGCAGGGGATTGCAGGAAACCTATACTAGTCAAATTCATTCTAATACATGTATTGATGTATTAATGAATACAGAGCAGTTTTAAAGTGATTTTGAAGGCTGAAGGTTTTTACCTTCATGTATTCTATGCATGAAGGTAAAAAACCTTCTCTGTGCCCCCCTAATACTCACCTGGGCCCCCTCTCGATTCATCAATGTCACGGGAGCCTCGGCTGTCCCAGGTCTCTCTCTCCTCGTTGGCTGAGACACAGCAGTGGGAGCCAATGAAGAGAAAGCAGGGGGCAGGGCTGAGCAGCTGCTCTGTGTGTCTTATGGATGCATAGAACAGGGCTCAGGAGTGAGCACGCACCAGTGCTATTGGGGGCACGAGTCAAGAGGGAGGAGCCAGGAGCACCAGCAGGGGAAGAGGATGCAATACCATTGCACAGAGCAAGTATGTTTGTTTTTTTTTTGTTTGTTTTTTTAATGAAGCTTAGATATCCCTTTCATTTATTGTCTGTTTTATATTTGCCTGCAGTTTGGTTTAACAAAAAGAAATCTTCGTAGGCAACCAATAAGGAATTGCAAATTCTAGGGAGCCAGAAAGAAAACAAAATTAAATAATTAATTAACATTTCAAACTGTCTACATATGCCTGGACTAAAATTTGTTCCTTTCATTAGCCAGAACAAACTAGCAGTAGCTGGAAACTAGGCAACTCAGCTGTAGATCAGCAATTCATGGGGAGCATGAAGTTGCTGCATATCACCTGATCCAGGTCAAATCCTTGTTAGACTTAAATGACCAGCTTTTTACAGGTAATGGGGTTAATTTACTAAAACTTGAGAGTGCAAAATCTGGTGCAGCTGTGCATGGTGGGTAATAAGCTTCTAACTTCAGTTTGTCCAATTAAACTTAGGCAAAAAAACTGGAAGCTGATTGTTTTCTCTGCAGAGCTGCACCAGATTATGCACTCTCCAGCTTTAGTAAATCATCCCCAGTTAACTGAACTACATGTAGCACTGCCATCTTAAAAAAAAATACAGAAGTATATATTACAAAATAAAAGGCTATCTAAGATGGAGTTGAAGTATTGTTTTAAGCACAGCTGAGGAAAAGGCATCTAACCCCCTGGGACACTAGTAAGAAATGAGGCATGACGGTTAGAGGCGAGGTTACATAAGGAACATTTTCTTCATTTGTCAGTGTCCCAAACCCGTAGGTAGATGTATAGTATAACCTGAATCTTTCAGAATTTCTGTGTCCCTCGATGGATGATAAAAAACACATAATTTACTGTGCTTTAAAAATAACTTAGTCTATAATGTATAAATAATAAAAAAAAACTTCCAAACGTGTCGCAAAATCCCACCAAATACAGGCTCAATTGTTAGACAGTTTAAATACAGCTGTACATGTACTTTTGTACTCTTTTAAATATTTTAGTGTCATCTATAAAAGTGTTCATGTCTTGCCTTGATTTTCTGACATGCACAGTAAAAATGGAATTAATTTCTGTTAAGTGATATTTAGCATGTCAAATGCATTTTAACCAATGAAGTTGTGTAGGTGTTGTCTATTGGAAGAGGCTGTTAAAATAACAGATAAATGATCAGGAGTCACATTTTTCTAAGCTATTAATTATGGCTTTGGAACAAGGTTGAAAAGGTCCTTGGTAGATGTAGACATAAATTATCATGTAAACTGATTAGTTACACTGACAATCTTTCTATAATGTGTCCAGAAATCCCAAATACAGATATAAATTGTGTAGAGACCCTGCAAGCCTGTTTTACTAAAATATTAAGTGAAGCAAAATGCAGTGACTTGAACCTGGGTTTACATTAACCGATTCCCGACTGCCCTATAGCAGAAATACTGCTACAGGGCAGCACTGGTGCGCAAAATCACGTATATATACAGGATTTTGCATTTCTGGGTAGGGGGCTCACGCAAGTCGTTCCCAGCCGTGGCTGTCAATCACTGGGTCCCGGCCAGTGATTACCCGCCGGTGCCTGGTGATTACCGACGATCACCAACGGGGAAGAGGGCTGCTTTGTTTACTAACAGTCCTCCTCCCTGTCGGCTCGGGCACACTGCTCTGGATGGCTGTGCACAGTTCCACGGTCCCATGCCATCGGGGGAACCTGAGAATGCAGCCGGTGTTTCTGCTAGCTGACCATAGAGCTGATTGGAGTCCGGATGGTGCCAGTCATCTCTATAGTCTAAGAAATTGGAAGCTATGAGCATTTCATCACTTCAATTTCGCAGGATATAAACGGCACCATTTGTAAATTGGGAAAGCATCTGATCACACTGATCTTGGTGAGATTAGATAATGTAAGGGCAGAGGAGATATCTAAGGTCTAAAGTCTGACAGACCACAGATTTCTCAAAAAAGAATATATGACAATGCCCATTAAAGTTATAGGGAATATTTGCATTCCCTGTGATAGCATTAAAAGTGATTAAAAAAAATTAAAGGGACAGTGTAAAATAATTAAAAAAATCAAAATAACTTAAAAAAAAAATAGAAAGCACCCTTGTGCCAGTATGTAAACAGTGGTTGCACCATGCATGTGAGGTATCGCCGCGAATGTCACATTCAGGGCAGTAATTCTAGCACTAGCCCTCCTCTGCAAATCTAAAATGGTAGCTTGTAAAGGCTTTAAAAGCATTGCTTATGGATATTAAAAATATATGCAGTTTGTCGTCATTGCACAGGGTATGCGCAGTTTTAAAGCATGTCATGTTTCATATCTATTTACTCGGCATACCATCAGCTTTTATATGTTACCAAATAATTGGCCAATATATTGTGTTATTGTGCATTAAAAGTAAAAAAGTGTATTTTTTTCAAAACATTTGCGTTTGAAAAATCGCTGCGCGAGTACTATGTGACATAACAAATTGCAGTGCTCACCATTTTATTCACTAGGGTGTCTACTTTAAAAAAATATATAATATTTGGGAGGTTCCAAAGTAATTTCCTAGCAAAAAATACTGATTTTTTTTTCATGTGAACAAAAAGTGTCAGAAAAGGCTTGGTCTTCAGGTGGTTAGAAGAGTGAATGACGTGTGGCATAAACTTCTAATGCTGGGCATAAAATGCTCCCCCCCCCCCAAAACGACTCCTTTTTGGAAAGTAGACACCCCAAACTATTTGCTGAGAGGCATGTTGAGTTAATAGAAGAATTTATTTTTTTACCACAAGTAAAAATGGAAAATGACAATAAAAAAAAAATGTTTTTTTTTACACAAAATTGTCAATTAAATGATTTATTGCTCACACATGCCATGGGTATATGTGGAATTACTCCCCAAAATACATTCTGCTACTTCTCCCGAGTATGGGGGTACCACATGTGAGAGACTTTTTGGCAGTCTAGCCAAGTACAGGACCCCAAAATCCAAAAAGGACATTCAGGCTTTTAAAGGGCTTTATTTCCTCATTACACTTTCTTCACTACCTAGCACAATTTGGGAGGCCCTGAAATGCTAGGATAGCACCATACCCCCTCCAAACGACCCCTATTTGTAAAGTAGACACCCCAAGGAATTTGACAAGAGCCATGTTACTTAGCAGATCTCATTTGTTGCCATAAGTTTTTGGAAAATGAAGAAAGAAAACAAAAACATATTTTTTCTTATTTTTTTTTTTATTTCAAAACCTTGTGAGAAAAAATGAGATCTGCAAAATACTCACCATGCCTCTTTTTAAATTCCTTGGGGTGTCTACTTTTCAAAAAGGGGTAATTTGGGGGGGGGGTTTGGTTCTATCCTGGCATTTCAGGGCCTCCGAAACTGTGATAGGTAGTGAGGAAGTGAAATGAGGAAGTTATGCACCTTCGGGCTTTCAAAGTGGTCATTGGATTTCAGTCTCCTGTATGTGGCTAGGCTCCCAAAAATTCTCACACATGTGGTGTCCCCACACTCAGTAGAAGTAGCAAAATGTATTTTGGGGTGTAATTCCACATTTACCCATGGCTTGTGCGAGAAATATATCATTTAAGTGACAACTTTGTCTAAAAAAAAAAATGTTTTTGTAATTTACCAAAAACTTGTGGAAAAATATAAATCTTCAATGGACTCAATATGCCTCTGAACAGATAGCTTATGGTGTCTACTTTCTGAAAAGGGGTCATTTGGGGGTGTTTGTACTGTCCTGGTATTTTAGCACCTAAAGATATGTGATAGCCAGTCAGAAAGTAAAAGCTATGTAAATTCCATTATCTATACCATAGTTTGTAGATGCTATAACTTACACACGTAGAAATCAATACACACATATTGGGATTTTTTACCAAAAACATGTAGCAGAATACATGCTGGCATAAATGTATGATGAAATTTTAGTTTTTTTGGATATGTTTTATGACAGAAATGAAAAAATAACGTTTTTTTTTTTCAAAATGTTTGGTCTTTTTTTGTTTATAGCATGAAAAATAAAAAGTGCACAGGTGATCAAATACCACCAAAAGAAAGCTCTATTTGTGTGAAAAAAAGGACATAAATTTAATTTATGTATATTATTGCATAACTATGCAATTGTCCGTTAAACTAGCGCAGCGCTGTATAGCAAAAAATTGGTATAAATTGCAGTATCTATACCATAGTTTGTAGACGCTACAACGTTCACACAAAGCAATCAATATACACTTATTGGGATTTTTTTACCAAAACATGTAGCAGAATACATTTGGCCTAAATTTATGACTAACTTTGAATTTTCTATATATATTTATAGCTGAAAGTAAAAAATATAAAAAATTTTAAGTCTTTTTTTGTTTATTGTTGAGTTCCCTCTGAAAGTGCTACTCGTCTGGTGGTTTTTAGTGTCAATACTTTTTCAGTTATTTGTCAGTACAGTTATGGTCATATAGCAAATAAATTCAGGGTGAAGTCATAATTTCTAAGGTAGGTGATTGTTTTGAAGCCATTGGACCAGTATGACAGCAACTAGCTTTTTTAAGCAGAAGTAAAGTCCACATTGTGTTGAGTGGGCTTTAGACATAATGTGCAAGTATGCAACGTATGCTTGCACTTTATGGTACAGGTGCTTCCCAGAGCGTCCCTGCCCAGCTTTATGACATATGTAATCTCCCTCTTTACCTTATCACCACAGCTGACATCCTTCATCCAGTCGTCTTCTGGATTCAGCATTCCAGGTGATCTTGATTGGAAGGTATGGAATGACATAATACCTGGGCATGCACAAGTTAAAGCATTACTAAAGTACTTACCTCCCACATAGAAATATAGATGAGTGACAGCAGAAAAAGAACAAGTGGTCCGTTGAGTCTACTCAATTTTTTTACATTTATATATGTTTTTCTCATTAATTTTTTTGTCTGAGTATAGATCTATGTTTGTACCAAGCATGTTTGAATCCACTTACTGTTGACTGACTTCCTCTGCTGGAAGTCTATTCCAAGTATCCACTACTCTTTCGGTAAAATAATACTTTTTAAGATTTGTTTTGAACTTTCCTCCTGCTAGTTTGAAGCCATGTCCCTGTATTCTTGATCTTGACTTCATATTGAAAACGCTGCCCTCCTGAACCTTTTTCATCACATTGAATGATTTTCTGTCATGTCTCCCCTTTTCCTTCTTTCCTGCAGACTGTACATATAAAGTTCCTGAAATCTCTCCAGGTTTTATCCCTCAGACCTTTATCAGAAAATATTGCCCCCCCCCAGACCTTATACACCCCCTTGATGTATTTAAAAGTTTCAGTCATGTCTTTCTTTTCCATTCGTTCCCCCAGGCTGTACATTATGAAGCTGATTTACTTAAAGTGAAGAGTGCAAAATCTGGTTACATTCCTGAAGTCACTCTTGAAATGTTTTATCCCCCAAACCTTTCACTATTTTTGTTATCTGTCTCTAGACTCCTTCTATCTTATCAAAATCTTTTTGCAAGTGAGATCTGCAGAACTGGACACAGTATTATAAATGAGGTCTAACTAAAGATGTTTATAGAGGAATCAGGACCTCCTTCCTCCTGCTGGTGACCCCTCTAGTGATGCATCCTAGAATTCTATTTGCTTTTCTTCACTGTCTGGCCACACTGTTTGCTCATTTTGCAATCATCCCAAATAAGAAATCCTAAATATTTTCCTCTGTAGGGTTGCCCAACACTGTACCCCCAATATTGTAACCACCTTTCAAAGGATTCTTTTCCCTAGGTGCACTATGTTATGGACACCTCAGGGGATATCAATCCTATTGCTCACCAATGTGTCATTAGCAAAAAGGCATACCTTACCCACCACCCCTTAAGTTATTTAACCACTTGGTAACCGCGCTATAGCTAAATGATGGCTACAGTTCAGTTACACAATTCTGGGAAGGTGTCATATGGCACCCTCCCAGAACGCGCCCTCTCGCGCGCCCTCAGGGGCATGTGCCCGCCAATCTCCATGATCGCTGTGTCCGTAGGACACAGCTGATCATCTGATGAGGTAAAAGGCCAATCACAGTGTCCTTTCACCACATGATCAGCTGTGTCCAATGACACAGCAGATCACGGAGTAAATACAGTTGCTTCGGTTATCGGCAGCACTTTCCTCATGCTGTCACAGCGTGAGCAAAGTACTGCCGATAATCGGCAGCTGTCACAGAGTAGATCAGCACTGATCATCAGTGCCACCCAGCAATGCCACCGACCAGTGACCAGCAGTGCCTCCCACCAGTGCCTAGCAGTGCCATCCATTAGTGCCCCCCAGCAGTGCCACCCATCATTGCTGCCCAGCAGTTGCACCTGTCAGTTCCCAGAAGTGCCGCCCGTCAGTGCCATCTGTCAGCGCCACCCGTCAGTGTCACCTATCAGTGACCATCATTGCTGCATATCAGTGCAGCATCATCAGTGCCTTCTCATCAATGCCCACCAGTGCCACCTCATCAGCGCCACCTCATAAGTGCAGCCTATCAGTGTTCATCAGTGTTGCCTATCCATGCCACCACATCAGTGCTCATCAGTGCAGCCTCATCAACAAATATCAGTGAAGGAGAAAAATTACCTGTTTGCTAAATTTTATAATAGAAACAAAGAAAACCTTTTTTTTCAAATTTTTGCTCTTTTTTTGTTTATAGTGCAAAAAATAAAAAAAGAATATGTTACCCCAACATTTCATATTCCTGATATGTGCCTGTTGTACTATGTACTTGTATGAAAACATATCCTGTTCTCTTTGTATTGCTTCCTTTTTGTGAAATACCTGGTGTTCCTGCCAGTCCACCTGCTCTCCTATTTCATATTGACGCTAGGCATCAGAGCACATCCAACCCAGTGTGGTCAGTTCTCTAGCTGTGTTGGGAAAACAGACTGCCTGTCCTCCACTGATCAGACTTGTGCTGACAGGTCCCTCTGCCATTCACTGGGATGGTTAGTGTAATGCTGTTTCTCCACCCCCCCCCCCCCTCTCCAAGCTCCTAATGCAGCTGAGAACATAGATTATGTGATCACTTATACAAAAAGAAAACAAAAGTATTTATGATTTTATATATATATATATATATATAAAATTACAGGTACTTATATAGTGCTGTCAATTTATGCAGTGCTTTACATATATTGTACATTCACATCAGTCCCTAACCCTCGAGGGGTGTACAATCTAAGGAATTTATAACTCAAATTCATACATACACATACTAGGGACATATAAACAAACACTTGCGCTCAGCATTTAAACAACAAGAATAAATAAAAGCAGCTTGCACATTTGAAGGCAATAATATGATAAATGCAGCGTTAATTATACAATGGTCTTATAGCACTTTAAATGTGATAAAGTCCATAAAGATTTTCAAATGGATGAAAGTAGCTACATAAGAGGAAAGATTTGATCTAAAAGCCGTCACCATTTACCCAAACAAATTGGCCTCTTACCAGACAGTTTGACCTCACAAAAGGTCGGTCAACATGAGCAGTATGGTATATCCTCAAATGCAGCAATGGATCATCAATAGAAATCCCCTCCAGAATAATAAGTAACTTCTCCAACTTCAATAAACCTCCAATTGGCAGAATCTCCCATCAAATGGTAAAGGAATGCATAGAGAAGAAAGGCAACTCATAGTGTAGTATTTAAATTTATAATCAATCAATTTATTTAGGTTCCACATACATGAATGAATAAAACAACCAGCATGGTAAAAGCAGGATGCTTCTAACTGACAAGATTGCTGCTGCCCCTCCAGAGCGTGATGTTGTCACACGGCGAGGCTCCACCCTATACTTTTCATCATCAAAAAAATGTCATCAGGCTTCATACTAGGGCCAATTTAGACAGGATCCAATAACCTACCAGCATGTCTTTGGAGTGTGGGAGGAAACCGGAGTACCTGGAGGAAAACCACGCAGGCACAGGGAGAACATGCAAACTCCAGGCTATATATATATATATATATATATATATATGCAGAATATTCTGCCTTTCGTTTCTATTTTAAACTGAATGGGTTGTTTTACAAGGTAAGGTGTTAACATATAGTTTAAATTAAGCTCACAGCTGAATGAGTCTGAAAAGTGCCCCTTCTTCTATGAGAGGTAGTCTCCAAACTGCTGAGAGCTGTCTTTAGAAGATCCAGAATGCCCTGAAAATACAGTGTGATGGATATATGATGTATTAAATGTATATTTGTATTGTAAAAATGCTAAAAATGTTAGGGTCCATCAGGTATCTGGTGAACATTGGTGTTAAAAAATTTAATGTATTTAGGTCCAGCACTAGAAGTGAAGTCTGTTTTTGGCTATTGATGTGGCAGCCGTGACTCAGGTGCCAAATTGTAGGTACTTTGCAGCCAATACTATTTTATTTAAAGCTAACGTATTTTTTTTTTGTGTGTGTTTGTGTGTGGGCAGGGGCAGGGTTGTGTATGTGTGTGGGGACTGATTTATTTTATGTGTAAATTATACATTACAGTTTAATGAAAGGTTCTTTTGTAAGATGACATGTTACATTACATAATATAAGGTTTAATTAAACCATGTCATTTTTTATCCATAGGAAAGCTAGCACCTGTTGTATTTTCCTCCTGTGACAGACATCTTTTGGCAGCTGCTCATAACAGCATTGAAGTGGGAGCCGTGTTTGCTGTCCTCAAAGCTATTCTCATGCTAGGTGCGTTCTCCTTTGTCATTTTCCTAATGCAGTTTTCTGCTTTTAGTATACAGTATATGTTCTCCATCTTATCATTACATTTAACAATGTAACAGAGGTGAACTTCAGAAAACGTGGAGAAGATACAGGTACAAGCCATTCAGATATCTACTCTCATTTTTAAATTGCTGTTTTTTTTTTTCTGATGACAGATATCTAGTACTGCTGAGCTCAGTGAGTCAATTTTTCAGTTGTTTTCAATTGCCTTTTATAGTAATACATAGCAGCGTTTTTGGCAATCATCAAGTATTTTGTGGCAAAGACATGTAGATATTTTGAATATATTCTCCACTGTGATAAAGGAATGCTGCTGGAACTGAACGTCTGACCTTTTGACTTTGAAAATGTGTTTGTAGCAACAGAGATCATTTGTTCATTGGCCTTGTATCACCCAAAATGCTGTTTTTTTGTCTCCTTTGTCAATGTCTACACCTCCACTTAGTGGTGATTATGGTAATTGCAGGCCTTAACGCTTTTTTTTTTTTTTTTTTCTAGGAGATGCTGCAATCGGCAGTAATAATATTAACTCATCAAAGCACAATAAAGTCACCACAAGTGAAGGGATTGAAGGGAATACAGAAACATCCTTGCAATCCTCTGGAAAACCATTCATCACAGAGACAGCAAGTTTAAGTGAATATGCAAAATATGTTCTAAGGACAATTTGCCAACAGGTAAAGATGTTTTCTGATGGATTTAGAACAGTGGTCTCCAAACTGAGGCCCGGGGCCAGATGTGGCTCTTTTCTTGCCTTTATTTGGCTCTTGGGGCACTATTCCACCAACTGACACCAATGATGGAGCACCATTCCCCCTACTGGCACCACCAATGCGGCACTATTCTTCTCATTAATATCAACAATAGAGCAATACTCCTCCCCTTTAAAGCCAATTATGGGGCACCGATGCTGGGGCATTTTCTACTCTCACTGACCACAGTCTGGCCGCCCTAAGTCCTGATGGACAGTAAACTGGCCCTTTGCTTAGAAAGTTTGGAGACCCCTGATTTAGAACTTACCTATAAGCAATTTAGACTTGTATGTTCATGACACTGATTTTTGTTTTCTCTGTTGGAGCTTAGGAGTGGGTTGGAGATCATTGTTTGAAGGAACCAGAGAGGCTGTGCATGGATAAAGATCTTATTTTGGATCCCGTTCTCTCTAATAAGCAAGCAAGCAAACTACTACAATTAATATGTTATCCTCATGAGATAAGAGAGTCACTAGAAGGGGAAAACATTCAGCAGCTTCACATTAAGAGAATCCTACAGGTAGGAAAGTCAGGCCTAAAGTAGCTGTTGACCCCAGAATGTGTTTTCATGCATCAATAATATTTTAAACCATTTCCATACATCAGAACAAAAGTGTATATGATGCTAACAGCCTATTTCTATTTCTGTTTACCTAGAATCTTGAACAGTGGACACTCAGGCAGTCATGGTTGGAGATCCAGCTGATGATCAAGCAATGCATGAAGGAACCTGTTAGTACTTTATCTCTAGACTCCACATAACATTGTATGTAATAGGGATCATGACGTTTTACTAGCTAGAATATGAAGGAAGCAGTTTTATTAAACCATTTGTCTCTTCTGTTGTTACAGGCATCTAATTCAGTGAATGAGATGAATACACTTTTGGATAATATTGCAAAAGCAACAATAGAAGTGTTCCAGCAGTCTGCTGAGCTAAACAGCAGTTTGAATACCCCTGGCAATGGTCTCTTTAGTGCTAACTGTGCAGGACATGCTGAGAGCAACAACACAAGGCACAATGTGAAATCTGCCATCCTCAGGTATCCAGTCTCATTGCAACTACTTTTTATCAGTTTAGAGTCCATACCTCCCAACTTTTTGAGATGGGAATGAGGGCCACCTATTAGTAAAAGTATGTAGGGATAGGACACACCCCCTGCCATGTCCCCTTAAATGAGAATTATATAAAAAACATTATTAGTTAAACCACAAGTGCTTTTTTACCACTACTATTCCTTTATACTGGCTTTTGAAACTCACAAATGAAGCAATTTAAACATTGGATGAAAGGTTTAGCACTGAGAAACACTTTTTGAAAGATAAATAGTGCATTTTATATACAACTATATAGATCAGACCAAAATGAGGGACAAATGAGGATGACAGAGGGGCAGAGGGACTTTGTTCCAATTCAGAGAAAGTCCATCAAAATCAGGGACAGTTGGGAGCTATTAGAGTGCAGAAGTACAAATGTTTAGGAAGAATTATCACAATTTATTATCTGTTCAGTTATAGTGTAGCTAAAACTGTTGTGTTTTTTTTTTTTTTAGATTGAATGGGGAAGGGTAAGCACAGCTATCACATTTACTGTATATTGCTGTTCATGTCCATGCTGCGTAGATTTACCTTCTTTATGGGGTTGATTTACTAAAGGCAAATAGGCTGTTTATTTTGAAAGCGAAATTGCACTTTGCAAATGAATTTGCCACAGGGCTTGGTGAGTGGGATGAAGTTTAATTTTGCAAAGAATACCCGATCACGTGCAAGAAAAAAAAAAGTAACAGCATTTTTGCTCACACATGATTGGAAGTTGGATGTCAGCAGAACTTCACCTCTTTCACTAAACTCTGGGGCAAATTCCGATGCAAGTACATAGCCTATTTTCGTTTAGTTAAGCAATCACAATTTGTCTCGGTGACCATTATCACCTAAATAGAAAGCAATAGGAAATCAGTAACTTTACGGTCACCAAAACAACAAATCTGTCAATAGGGATACCAAAGAGGTGGATTCCACTCACGTGGAGATACCTGCTCATTTTTTATTGCATTTCATTGACAAGACATGATGGGAAATCTCCCCAACAGAACACAGTCAGCAAAAATAAAATGACAGGGGTTTAGGACCTTTCCTACTCTATCCAAAAATTAAAAGCATTTTGGTTGTGATACTCTGTAATCTACAAACCAATGAGCAACACTAGCAACAACAAAACAAATCAATAGATTCTCTGCAATAATGATTGGTAGCATGAAAATATGTGATATTTACTGGGCATACAGGTAGGTATCAGCAGTTTTTTCAGTTCATGAGAATGAGGTGCTCATATAACTTAGCATGTAATTTGGCAGTTCTGATCTACTGTATACCCTATCATAACAGCTGTCCATAGGCCATTTATAAACATCCTGGACTTGGAGCTTGGTATCATTTTTTTAAACTGTGATTGGCTATTCAGTAAAAGTTACGTAGACAGCTCTGCAGAAGACGAACCACCTACCTCTGAGAAGCCTGGGGCCACAGTTAACTGCCCCAGATCTAAGAGCGGGAGATGAAAGAAGAACATCCCTTCTCTGATCTCCTCTGCAAGTAATAAAGGTGGAAGCGACAAGCATTTTGTTACTTCCAGTTTCAGTTTTCATTCATTCCCTTACCATACCTGGGGAAGCAAGTAATAAAGCTTAATTTGTGCTTGAAGTTGCAGTGGAGGGCAGTGGAGACATTGGGGATCTGACTGACCCCTAAGGTCTCCATAAAAAGAAGTTGTCGGTCCCCTGTTTCTGTGCATACAATTAAGTGAATAACTTCACACACTGTGACACACCTGGCTGAGCAGGGGATGCTTACTGCAGGTTCTGCAGACCAAGCTACAAATAAATAAAATTAGGTAAGAAATTTTAAAGCACTCTCATCCTACCTGCACATGCATGTGAATGCTAATGAAGCATAGGACCTGCACAGGTATTTAAACAGCAATTTCACCACACATGTAAAATATAGCTGTAAAAGTCGGAGACCAAGAATTCCAGAGTCATAATTCATGGTCAACTCTAAATTGATAACCTGTAAAGGCTTTTAAAATTTAGGTACCATTTCACAGGTCGCCATTTTACAGGTGCATGCAATTTTGCGTCTTGGCCTGTTCGGTATCTATTTACTTGATACATCAACACCTTACCAAAAAATGGGTATTATGTTATGTTTGTGTGTACTAGAATTCATTTAGCCTATTGTTTACTAAAAATATGCAATTGATAAACAGTTGTGCGAATATCATACAACATAAAAAATTGCACCTGCTGCCCATTTAGTCTACAGGGCCTCTGGTTTCAGGAAATAATGGGGGGTAGTAAGTAATGAAGTAATGTTCCAGCAAAAAATGCTGATTTTAAAGTAAAACTCTGTGATAAGCAAATATTGGATAATTACAAGAGACTTGTATTCTTACTTCAATCTTGGTGTGCATTGTGTATTTCTTGCAGATCTGTGCAGTAATGCAGTGTGAAACTTTATTTCTGTACAGGACCTTCCTGTAATAAAGACCAATTACTGCTGCTTTTTTTCCTTGTGTAGGCTGACTGGTCTTGTATCCATGCACTTCTAAGTTTCTGCAGGCAACCTGTAGTGGGTGGACCTGCTGGGTCTCCCCCCCATAGCTCTGCTGTCTGCACAAGCTATGTACAGAACAGTGATGATGCCACTGCTCATTTTACAATGTAATATCTGGGTCTGCAAAGGTATTTGATGTACACAAAGTAGATTTATGTAATTTGTGGTTATTGAGGAATATATTTATATGAGAGGGTTTTTTTACCCAGAGTTCAGCTTCTATATGTGTGTAAAATATAAAAAAAAAATTGACTCAGATGCAGAGTGGTTAATGGTTAATCATTCTGCTTTAACTATGATTAGTTGTCTACATGTATACAAACATGACTTTTGTGTGTTGGGTTTAGCTCATCTGAAAGGAGAGGTGTCTGGCTTGTGGCACCTCTGATTGCTAAATTGCCCACTTCGGTGCAAGGCAGAGTGCTAAAGGCAGCTGGAGAGGAACTGGAGAAAGGGCAGCATCTGGGCTCATCCTCCAAGAAAGAACGGGACAGGCAAAAAACAAAAAAGGTAAAATATTCTTATATATTATTTCATATATTATTATTATTTATTATTATGTGTTCATGGTTCAGTAGAACAACTGACAATACTTTTTAAATTATCCTATTAAAGAGGACCTATTAAGAGGTATATTTATAAATTATTTCACACAAGATTTACACAAATTTCAACAAATTCATACATCTTTCTAATTTGATTCAGTTGGGAATCCCTGGTAAAAGTTGTATGTCTTTTGGGTGAAAACACTCATAAATCAACCGACCCCAAGTGTATTTATAGTTTTAGTACCATAATTTTATTTTTGTAGTTTTGATTTGTAGAAACCAGTAGAAACTGGTTTAAAACATCCATGTTACTGTGACAGGGATTATAAGTAGATTGCTTATCGCACAAATTCCTAATATACAAAAACTATTTGTGAATTTTTGAGATGGTGCAGCACGTGTATGTAATGCTTGACCATGAAGATCACTCTTAAAAAGAGAACATACCCAAGATAACTGCAGCTTGATACACCATAACAAAGCATAAAGGTCCAGAACCATATAAAAGTTCACCTGGTCACACACTCTAAGGCAGTGGTTCTCAACCTTCCTAATGCCGAGACCCTTTAAAACAGTTCCTCATGTTGTGGTGACCCCCAACCATAAAATTATTTTTGTTACTACTTCATAGCTGTAATTTTGCTACTATTATGAATCATAATGTAAATATCTGATATGCGGTTTCTCAATTCCTGCTGTAATTATTGATGTAAAACCATACTGTAAAAAAAATATTCACATATTTTCTTTTCTTAACGTTCTTCTCTACACGATCCATGGCGCTCACACAGGGGTACACTGAGGAACCCCCCTATAAATGAGGCCTTCATACACACAGGACAGGTATTCCCAACACACCCACTGAGACCTTCCCTGGGACTGGACTAGCAGTGGAAACTCCCAGCTACACACAGAAGGAGGAGTGCTGAGTATCAGCTCTGAGTGACATTTCTATGGGGTCATCACACTACAGAACCCCCTCCTCCTCCATATCAGAAGATACATCTGCAGGTATCTGTACACTGACTATCCCATATCAACAATGGCAGCAGCCAGGAGATTCCCCTTCCCCTACACAGCACACACTGCCAGGCAGAACAGCAGCTCTTCACATTGCTGCCATACAAGGCGTCACACCTCCCCCATCCCCATCACACAGAGCAGCCAGCTCTCTTCACACACGGCCCGCTGTCACCTCTACACCGTCACCATCTTGGATCTGCTCTCCCCCCTCCTCCACCCAGTCCCCAGCTAGCCAGCTCCCTGACAGAGGCCACGCCCAATCTGAGGACATCAAAACTTCTTCACTGGCGCTTCCCATTGACATGTCACCTCGTCTGGTTGGTCAAGTTCTAGTTTAATGCCAATAAGCCCTGCCCGCATTTAGAGCTGGGGATGATGTCGCCGCTCAGCGATGATTGGGGGAGCAGTGCAGACAATGGGCAGGGCGGATGTTGTGGGAGATGATAGGCTGGGGCAGAGGGGTCAGGTGTCATCACTGCTGACTGTTCTCTTACTCGTATGTGGGCGTATCTGCATGTGGGCGGACCCGCCTGGAGACGGATAGAGGAGCGGTGTCTCAGTTCCTAAGACCATCAGAAATATGTGTTTTCTGATGGTCTTAAGCGACCCCTGTGAAAGGGTCATTCGACCCCCAAAGGGGTTGCGACCCACAGGTTGAGAACCGCTGCTCTAAGGTGTCCAAGGCTCTCACCATACAAATACATGGAACAGTTCACATCACACCACTGGCAGTCCAAGAATGGAGAAGCCAGCAGTATTCACATAAGATGGGGAACTACTGATCCAGAATCCAGCAGCTTTCTCTATTGGCAACAGCAGTAGATCACAAAAAAGAGTTTCACCGGCAGGAAAATACAGTTGTGCTCACAAGTTTACATACCCTGGCAGAAATTGTGAAATTTTGGCATTGATATTGAAAATATGACTGATCATGCCAAAAAAATGCTTTTATTGAAGGATGATGATCATATGAAGCCATTTATTATCAAATAGTTGTTTGGCTCCTTTTTAAATCATAATGATAACAGAAATCACCCAAATGGCCCGGATCAAAAGTTTACATACCCTAGAATGTTTGGCCTTGGTACAGACACACAAGGTGACACACATGGGTTAAAATGCCAATTAGAGGTTAATATCCCACATCGGTGGCTTTTTAAATTGCAATTGGTGTCAGTGTATAAATAGTCAATGAGTTTGTTAGCTCTTAAGTGGAAGCACTGACTAGGCTAGATTCTGAGCCATGGGGATAAGAAAAGAGCTGTCAAAGGTCCTGCGAAACAAGGTAAAAGAACTTTAAAAAGATGGAAAAGGACATAAAAAGATGTCCAAAGCCTTGAATATGCAAATCAGTACTGTTAAATCACCTATTAAGAAGTGGAAAGTTCGGGGATCTCTTGATACCAAGCCAAGGTCAGGTAGACCAAGAAAGACTGCAGCCATAACTGACAGAAGAATTGTCTGGGATTCAAAGAAAAACCCACAGACAACTTCAAAAGAAAAACAGGCTGCTCTGGAAAAAGATGGTGTGGTTATTTTTAAGGAGTACAATACGTTGATACTTGAACGAAAATGAGCTGTTTGGTCAAGGTGCCAGAAATAAGCTTTTACTGCACCAATGCTACAAAAAAGCCCAGTTACAATATGCCTGACAACACCTTGAGGTGCCTAACCAGGCCTTTTTGTGTCATTGATGCAGTAAAGACGTCTTTCTGGCATCTCCACCATGCAGCACATTTTTGTTCAAGTGTCATCATATTGTGCTCTTTCAAAACAACCACACTGTCTATTCTACTACTAACAATTCTTTGCAAGCATGCTATCTGAGTAACTCTTTAGGGTTTCCACACCCAAGTAGTACGTAGGAATCAGAATCTGCTTAATAAAGACCTCGACAGCCGGTCTATGACATTCAGCATATGTTGTGCAGTCTTTGGAGGAAAGTTACTCTGAGTATTACTATGTATCTCTCCCTCTGTAGGTTTAGAGGAACATGGAACTGAGTCAGTGACAGTCAGCGCTAAGAAAATTAAGGATGGGATTCAGGGACAGGTGTAAGGGCAGTAATGGTAGAAGCCACCACTTTGTCATAGTTCTCCTCATCTTTCTCCTTGTCTCCTCAAGGTCAGTCATATGATGCATGTAGTTCATAGTCAGAGTCACCAAGGGTCTGTTTGCTAAGACATTGGATAGAGGAAGGGGCTGGGGACTCAAATAACTAATTAAAGGGTCAGAAAGTTTTAGCTGTAGCTTTATCTTGAGCAGCACATTTCTGACCTCTTCTTGGGTCTCAGTGACAGTCAAAAACACAGCTTGCATGTCAAAAACACGAAATTCCCACATTCCATGGTCAGGGTCTAGGGTTTTCCAAATAAGCCCTCACTTGTACAGTTCATCTTCAAAGGAGCTGTTGGTTTTACAGGTCCTTCTAGCATTTCTTTTGGTGATCTGACCTACAACTGCCCTAGATGACCCAGCAATGACAGCTAAATAACAGAAATCTATCCACTCAGATTTGCTTGAATGATTTATTGGCTCAAAGTCCAAGGGAGAAAGGAATAGGGTTTGCAGGATTCCCAACCAGTAATAAGAATCGTTCCACTCAAACAGAACTAATTTCAGCTCCTCCCATGAGCCAAGGATGTGCCTTTAAGCTGTGACCAGCAATTCTTCAATGTCTGCCTTTAAACTGACACCAGCAATAGACTGAACAAGATGCTCCCCCTTTGCGGCCACCTTCCTATCTTCCAGGCCATAGTCTTATGTCCCACTCCCTAGGAAAGGATTCTGAAACTGATGAGGCTTCCCTATGCAGCAGGCCTGATAGGTAAAAAGGCTCTGGACAGTGGATCTCTTCTCCTGATTGGGTCCCTGGACTCACATCCTCTTTAAGCAAAGCCTGGGAGGCAAATACCTTTCTGAAAACATTCCTCGAATATGTATCTCCTTTCTCAGCCCACACCACTGCCAAAAGAAATCTAATGATCAGCTAGGGTGAAATAAGTATTCATAACCCAAAACATTGTACCTTGCATAATCTGTTTGTCAAAACCCCCAACAGCAGGCAGAAGCAAGCAATGCTGTGTAGGCCATGGGTCTCCAAACCTTCTAAGCAAAGGGCAAGTTTACTGTCCTTCAGGCTTTAGGTGGGGTCAGACTGCAGCCAGTAGAAAATGTCCCAGCATCAGTGCCCCATTGTTGGTATCAATGAGAAGAATAGTGTCCCATTACTGGTGTCAGTTAGTGAAATAGTGCACCAAAGGCCAGAAAAAGACAAGCAAAGGGCCACATCCGGCCCCCCATGCAGCAGTTTGGAAACCACTCCTCTAGACTTAGGGGAAACCCAGCAAACACAGAATAAAATAGCAATTAGAGCGCCTGCTAGTTGCTGTCCAGCTGCACTTTAAATTTAGACTAGTAACACCCCAACCTTGACAGGGTCCCTAATCCATGAAGAAATTCATAAAATCTAGTATAGTCACCAAACAGGCGACATGGTATATGGAGAAGAAAATGTAGTGTGATATTACAAGTCATTGTAGCATCTGGAAACTTCATTTGTTATATAATGTTAGACATGCATATGTGATATACTGTTACTGTTCCCAGTTTTCCATGTTACAAATGTACAGTATTGTAAAATATTATACCATTTTTCATTCATCTTATGTAGCATGTCCCTGCTGAGTCAGCACCCATTCCTATCACTGGTACTCACCTGCTTAAAGGGACAGGATGAGCAGAGAGAAGGTCTTCTCACATCACTGCAAAATCAGCTGAATCAGGTACAGTGTACAGTGTTGTACTACAGAAAAAATATACCTGACAAGATATTGAAAAGTGTCAAAATCCAATCAGTTTGGGCTTTTGAAGTCTAGCAGTTTATGGATTTATTGGTAAATCTTAGTCTTGGCAGAATTTTAAAAGCACAGTAATCTCACCAATGTTCCCTGTCTAGCTATGCCTTTACATCATTCATACACAGATTTTTTTTGGCTACTAATATTTGCAGCATTTTAACAACCTACCATAAATACATTTATTAATAGTAATCTTATCAGTATACAGTATATTAATGTTTTTAGTTCATTGCTTCTATGAATATTTTGTGGTTATCTTTGTTTATCACGGCAACCATATTTGCTTATTACATACAAGGGTTCTGCTTCTTGCTTTGCATTGCACCTCAATAGTTGTACTTTGTTTGTTTTCACATTGGAAGTCTGTCTATGAGTTGGACAAATCATTTAAAATTTGCATTCCCTTTGCAGCTGATTTGTTATTTCTTATAACTTATGTTATGGCTCATTTATACCAGAGAACATTGTATTACAATGCACGTATTTTAGTGTGCTTTGGTGCATTGCAGCATACTTATTAGGGGGAGCATTCTAAATTTTCCTGCAACACAAAAAAAAACAGGTTATTGGGTGTTCTGGTGGGCTGCAAGTGTGTTCTGGACATGCTTGGGGTGAATGGCACTGCAAAGCATAAAGCATGTTAGACTGCTGCTTGCTGTGGTAAAGTGTTACCAAAGCCTTAAGCCTGGGTTCATATATATGCGGTGCGACACATCGCATGTGATTCGCACAGGAACCACACTGCATTCCTATGCAAATCACATACGATTTCTGTGCGGTGCATTTTGAGCCATACATTTTGTATGGTTCAATTCGCGCCGCATCTGCACCAAAAAAGTGCAGGACCCTTTTTTAGTCCGCACACCCATGCAATCCAATTCTGCACGTCGCACTGCATTTTGCGAACTGATTTCAGGGTATGATTAGCTTAAAATACACACCCGCAGCTGTTCGTAGGAATGGGGTGCGATTATGATGCGGTGCGGAAATCACACAGAAACCGCTGCAAATACCACTCCGCATTAGTGTGAACCGAGGCTGAAGCTCAACTTCAGGCAAACAGCTAATTACACAGATAAATTGCATTTAAGAGAGCTGTTTTATTTGTTAAATGATTTGTACTTCTGTCCATCCATTCCTGTGTTCTGCACTGCCAGACAACACCGTTAGGAAGATGAAAACCCTTTCTCTGCTTTAGTTGCAGACTGTAGAAGGAATTCATTGGTGTCCTCTCAGCCAGAAGACTGGACAGTGAAAGAGCAGCAGCAAAGTGATAAGGATACTAAGACAAATTCTGAAAGTTACACTAGCTGCATTTAAAAATTTGTAATAATAAGTTATAGCAGAGCGACACTAGTTTGTCTCTTAGATTGTAAGCTCTAACAAGCAGGGCCTTCTGAATCCTGCTGTTATCATTTGTATTGTAATTGTACTGTCTGCCCTTATGTTGTACAGCGCTGTGTAAACTGGTGGTATATAAATCCTGCATAATAATAATAATAATAATATAGTACAAGTCAGAATATTTGCTGTAAGTGCTCCCTCTAGTGGCAAATCTTCAATTCTCTACATTTAATACAATAGCAAAAATATAGAAAAGAAAGCATTCAAATTATGAAAGCCATATTGTTTATATAAGACATACGTTTTACAATTACAGATTGCCAAATATGTTCTTTTACTCACTTTGCCAGACTGAAAAAAAATATCATCATCACCAGTTTTATTAGGTACCAGTATCAAGTATTAGGTATCAGTAGTGTGGTTTTACTTTACATGTGGACAGCTAGCAAGAGGTCAGCTTAGAAAATGATTAGGATTTTTATACCTCAAATTACATCCCCTGCACTATACTGACTGTCCTTTAAAGACTAATTACATCTTTTGCAAAAACAAATAAATGTACTGTATATACATTTATATCGATTGATTGTATATACATACATTGATTGAATATGCTGATTGAAAAAAAAGTAAATTTATCTATTTATTTATATAGCAATGGAGCCTGCAAAGCATTGTTACCATGATCAGTGGATCAAGGGGCAGTGCTCAAGCTCCTGCAGACTATACCACCAGACTCAATTTCATACCGAGGTTCATATACTACATACACTATAACTACCCCCAAGTCTGTTAGTCTGAGCCTCATCTTGTCCATTCTGTTTGTGTTGCAACCCCTCCCCTATATGAACATAAAATAGGAAATTGGAAATCGGACTTTAAACATGTCCCCAAGGTTCATACAATTATATCAAGAAACCAAAGTGTATACAGTTGCAAGAAAAAGTATGTGAACCCCTTGGGATTACGTGGAGTTTTGCATGAATTGGGCATAAAATGTGCTCTGAACGTCATCTAAGTCACAACAATAGAAGAACACAGTCTGCTGAACATAATACTACACAAACATTAGATGTTGCCATGGTTTAATTGCACATAACATGTAAACATTCACAGTGCAGGGAGGAAAAAGTATGTGAGGCCCTAGCTTAATGACTTCTCCCAGAGCTAATTGGAGCCAGGAGTGAGCCAACCTTGACTCCAATCAGTGTGATGATATTGGATGTGTTGCTGACAGCTGTCCTGCCCTTAAAAAACACACACCTGCTTTGGGTTTACTGGTTTCAAGAAGCATTGTCTGATGTGAACCATGCCTCGCAGAAAAGAGCCCTCAGAAGACCTACAATCAAGAATTGTTGACTTGCATGAAGCTGGAAAGGGTTACAAAAGTATCTCCAAAAGCCTTGATGTTCATGTGTCCACGGTAAGGCAGACTGTCTACAAATGGAGAAAGTTTAGCACTGTTGCTACTCTCCCTAGGCGTGGTCGTCCTGTAAAAATGACTGCAAGAGCACAGCGCAGAATGCTGCATGAGGTAAAGAAGAATCCCAGAGTGTCAGCTAAAGACTTACAGAAATCTCTGGCACATGCTAACATTTTTGTTGACACATCTACAATAAGGAAAACATTAAACAAGAATGGAGTACATGGGAGGACACCACGGAGGAAGCCATTGCTGAAGAAAAAAGAATATTGCAGCACGTTTGAAGTTTGCAAAAGAGCACCTGGATGTTCCACAGCACTACTGGCAAAATATACTGTGGACAGATGAAACCAAGATTGAGTTGTTTGGGAAGAACACACAACACTATGTGTGGAGAAAAAAAGGCACAGCACACCAACATCAAAACCTCATTCCCACTGTAAAACATGGCGGAGGGAGCATCATGGTTTGGGGCTGCTTTGCTGCCTCAGGGCCTGGATGGATTGTTGTCATTGATGGGAAAATGAATTCCAGAGTTTATCAAGACATTTTGCAGGAAAACGTACGCCAACTGAAGCTCCGCAGAGGATGGGTGATGCAACAGGACAATGACCCAAAGCATACAAGTAATTCAACAAAACAATGGCTGCAACAGCACAGAATACGTCTTCTGGAGTGGCCCAGTCAGAGTCCTGACCTCAACCCAGTTGAAATGCTGTGGCATGACCTTAAGAGAGCGATTCACACCAGACATCCCAAGAATATTGCTACACTGAAACAGTTTTGTGAAAAGGAGTGGTCCAAAATTACTCCAGATCATTGTGCAGGTCTGATCTGCAACTACAGGAAACGTTTGGTTGAGGTTATTGCTGCCAAAGGAGGGTCAATCAGTTATTAAGTCCAAAGGTTCACATACTTTTTCCTCCCTGCACTGTGAATGTTTACATGTTATGTGCAATTAAACCATGGCAACATCTAATGTTTGTGTATTATGTTCAGCAGACTGTGTTCTTCTATTGTTGTGCCCAATTCATGCAAAACTCCACGTAATCCCAAGGGGTTCACATACTTTTTCTTGCAACTGTAGATCGCTTTCACCCCCCCAGGTACAGGTTGGCATACAACGGGGCACACGTGGTCCCCATCACAACCCCCTGCACCTGGAGGTAGAGGGAGCAAGCGAACAAAAACACATTGTGAGTCAAAATGAATTCCAAAAGTTCAGAAATAAAAAAGATTGTACTGCTCATAAACAGTGCTCTTTTCGTTCAGAAAGATAGATATGACATTCAAACCAGATATGTGAGGAATACTTGAATATAAAGCCTCCACTATCGAGGCCAAAACAGTTTGTTCAGTAACATGTAAGTTATCCAATGTTGTTAGAAGATAAATGGTATCTTTGAGATATGACGATAATGATTCCACATGGGGGCGAAGATAATCATCCACCATTTTACTAGTTTTGTGTGTAAGAGAATTGATACCCGATATTATTGGTCTGCCGGGTAGTACCTTTAGAACTTTATGGACCTTAGGTAGAGTATAAACCGTGGGGGGTTACTGAAAATTTAACCTTTAAAAAGTCACAAGTATTCTTGGAAATGAGATTAATAGAATGTGCTCTATCAATTATAGCTTCAAATTGTCTCTGGAAAATAGCAACAGCAGATGGTGCAATTCTACAGTACGTATGTGCATTTTTTTTGGCACATAGAAGTGTATTGTTCTTCTAGCATAATAACTATATTGCCTCCCTTATTTTAGGGTTTGATTATGATCCCTTCTCGTTGTTGGTGTTGATGAAAAGCACATTGTTGGGCATAGGTTAGATTTGATGAGTTGGAGGCTGCAGCAATTTTTGTCTATATCTTTAGATACAACATCTAATAACAGTTTAACCCTGGGATTGTTAGAATCTGGAAATCTGCATGATTTATTTTTATATTCTCCCCCCCCCCTCCCCCCATATGATCTAGTGTAAAACTTCTGGCAATGGTTGCCCCAGAGTGGAAAATTCACATCCAATAGTTTATGGTTTTGCTGAACATAGCAAAGGCTAGGCATGTCTGCAATTCCTCTGCTTTTCCAGCATTTTCTTTCACTTCCCAGGTGCAAGTTGCTTTTTTATTTTTTTATTTAATTATAGTCAAGGCATTGGAGGCATAGCTGCCGAGGGAAAACCTATGGCCATAGGTTGCCTGCCCTTCCACAATGCAGGGGGGAAATCCTACAAACAGAAGTTTGTCATCCTTTGGCAACAGGCTGCCTGTCCTTCCTCAAATCAGGACATATTTTTATTTATATTTTGAAATATATATTTAGATATATATTTACACAATTTTTTTGTTAGTACCTGTTTTTTTTTTAATTCGAGATCCACAGTTTACACTTTGTTTTGAGCACATTACCACATACTTCTAATGTGCACCAAAACAACTCATATTTATCCAGTCTATTGCCATAGTTTCCATTAAATGTAGGCAATTTACCTATAAAAAAAAAACATTCATGCAGGTCCAAAGTGGGAGGAAGGGGTTCTACACATGGTGGTAGCAGAGGCAAGCAGGTTCTGCAAAGCAAAGCTGTGCTCCAGCCGCATCATCTATAGTCAGCGCATGTCTGTCTTTTGTATCTCAGAATAGCTATGCTATACAGCCACAGCATGCCTAGGAGGTAGTTAAGTGGCTAACAAAACTTCTTCTTCTTACTTCTCCCAGGTGCAGAACAGCCATTTGCATGCAAGCTCTGCTAATGCACCCCTTTCATCCTCCTCTAAGTTCAGAGGCAGAGCAGCAATATGCTTGTAACTACTGCTAATGCACCTTTTGTTCCTCCTCCAGTACTCCTCCCAGGTGCAAAGCAGCCACTTGCCTGCAAGTGCTGCTAATGTGCCCTTTTCCTCCTCCCCCCCCTCCTCCCAGACACAAAACATTTTTTCTTTAAAAATAAAGGTGTTCCGAAAAAAAGAAAACACTTACCTTGGCTTCTGGTGCTTCTGAAAGGCACAGTAATGTCACCATACTTCACTGCTGCCTCCTGGGAAAGCTTGACACTCAGAATTCCATAGGCTTGTGCTCCAACTTACTGCCAGGGCCTATTCTCATGGGTTTTTGGGTGCCCTGTTATCCTTTTCCTAGGAGGCAGTGATGAGGCAGAGTGATGTTACCTCTGCCCTCCAGAGGCATTGGAAGCTTGGCCAAGGTAAGTATTCTTCTCTTTTTATAGCTAAAACCTTATTTTTATATCACCTTTGCAATCAATTTGACTTGTGTCGACAGGGAAGCGTTCAATAGATTAACTGTATCCAATGAAGAATGGTTTATCAACAGTGATAGTTCTAGTGCACATGAATTTTAATGACATGTCAATATGCCTTTACTCCCTGCAGATTTTGAGTAACTGGAGAGAGGAGAAATACCAAGATGATGTGAAAGCTCGCCAGATGATGCATGAGGCTCTTCAATTACGTCTGAATTTGGTAACTTTTATCTCAAGGATACTATATATATATATATATATATATATATATATATATATATATATATATATATACACACTGTATTCATATCAATCAGTTGAATGTGCTTTTTTTCAATCCTCCAGTTATGTGCAAAGGTGACTCCTATTTCTTAAATTGATCTGCATGAAATGGGGATTTAACCTGCTACACTGGACTGACTGAATATTTTGCGGTTTTAGATAAACTCCATTATGTCAAAGAAATGTGTTGAATACAGAATCATAGATATTTAAATGAAAACGAACTACAGATTGCAAAAGATAGCAGGACCAACCCCAAAACATTCTTCAAATATATTAATAGTAAAGAGGTCCTGTCCTAGCATGTAGGCCCTTTACAAAATAATCTAGAGTGGGTGATTTGCGACAAAGAGAAGGCAAATTTATTACATACCTTCTTCAGCTTTGTGTATACAAAGGAGCACGGGGGAGCTCTTGTGCATAATGGGCATGGTATTGGTCCAGATGATCCACATTGGCTCACAACTGATATGATCCAAAAATATTTAGACAGAATAAAGGTGAATAAAGCATTTGGACCGAATGGCATACACCCACGGGTCCTTAAAGAATTGAGCTCTGTCATTTCAAAGCCATTGTTTCAAATTTTTAGGGACTCTTTAATGACTGGCATAGTAACACTGGATTGGTGCAAGGCCAATTTTGTGCCAGTGTTTAAAAAGGGGTCAAAATCTTTACAAAGTAATTATAGACCTGATATTTTAACTTCTATAGTTGGAAATGAGTTCTTGCTGGAAAAAAAATATTTTAAGCAACAGACAGCATAGATTCATGAAAGACAGAAGTTGTCAAACAAATCTGATTTATTTTTATGAGGAGGTGAGCAAAACCTTGGACAGAGGGGTGGCGGTGGACATGGTATACTTGGATTTTGCAAAAGAGTTTGACACAGTTCCCCACACACGGCTAATGTGTAAGGTAAAGTCTACGGGCTTGGAAAAATATGTATGTAACTGGATAGAAAACTGACTAAAAGATCGTATTCAGAGAGTAGTGGTTAATGATTCATACTCTGAATGGTCTAGGGCTGTCAGTGGTGTACCCCAAGGTTCAGTTTTGGGACCCTTACTTTTTAATATATTTGTAAACAATATAGGGTCTGGGATTAAAAATACCATTTCAGTCTTTGCGGATGACACCAAGCTGTGCAGTGGAAAAACGTGCTTACAGGATGTCTTCAACTTACAAGCCGACCTCAATGCACTGTTTAATTGGGCAACTATGTGGCAAATGAGGTTTAATGTTCAGAAATGTAAGGTTATGCACTTGGGGGCTAAAAATATGCATGCATCTTACATACTAGGGGAGGTACAATTAGGGGAATCAATGGTGGAGAAGGATCTGGGAGTTATGTTAGATCACAAGCTTAATAATGGCATGCAATGTCATACTGCGGTTTCTAATGTGAGCAAAATCCTCTCTTGTATTAAAAGAGGTATAGACTCCAGAGAGAGAGATATCATTTTACCCCTGGACAAATCATTAGTAAGACCTCATCTGGAATATGCATTTCAGTTTTGGGCACCAATTCACAAAAAGAACATTGGGAACTGGAGAAAGTACAGAGAAGGGCAACCAAACTGATAAGAAGCATGGAGGAGATCAGCTATGAGGAAAGATTAGAGGAACTGAATTTATTCTCTCTTGAGAAGAGAAGATTAAGGGGGGATATGATCAAACATGTATAAATACATCAGTGGTTCATATAGTGAACTCATTGTAGAGTTATTCACCCGGAGGTCATCATAGAGGACAAGGTGGCACTTTTACATCTGGAGGAAAATAATTATAATCTCCAAACGCGGAAAGGTTTCTTAACCGTAAGAGCTGTGAAAATGAGGAATAGACTCCCTCAAGAGTTGGTTCTGGCCAGCTCCGTGGATTGCTTTAAAAAAGGCCTGGATTCTTTCCTAGATACACAGAATATAACTGGATACTAACATTTATTGGTAAAGTTGATCCAGAAAATATCTGATTACCTCATGGGGGATCAGGAAGGTATTTTTTCCCTGCAGGAGCAAATTGGATCATGCTTTGCTGTTTTTTTTTTACCTTCCTCTGGATCACATGTGGGTATAGGATTATAACTTTTTTTTTTAAAGGCTGAACTGGATGGAATTTTGTCTTTTTTTTCAGCCACACTAACTATGTAACTATGGAATGTGAGCTTCTTGAAGTTCATGACATTAATATCAGGAATGACACAAAAATGTTTAAAGATGAACTTCCAGGCAACCAACTAAATACACAAATGAAATACATATAGACTGGTTTTAACTGCTAAGGGATTTGTCTTACATAGTTTTTGCAAACAACCAGGGAGTATAAAGTCCTCAGCTCAGAGTGAGAGATCCCACAACAGCTCAGAGAAGCCACATATGATGTGGCAGAGGTAGCTAGGCAAGTGATCTGCAGTCAGGTGAGATGCTTTCACTTTCAGAATTCGTGTATAGGTGGCTGTGCTGAAGCCTAAAAGCACACATTTTCTCCCTGCTTGCTACCAGAATATTCAAGTTACAGTGGGGTTGCGCTTTGTCCATAGAACCTTGGATCCCCCAGCTGTTCACCTTTGTTACCACAGCTACTCCTTGACTACATTGCAAGGTATGCCGTTTATAAGGATATTCACAAATAACTATGTTCTGAAGTAGTGATTCTGAATGTGACTGCGGCCTGAGGGCCATATGTGGCCCTTTGCTAGCCTTTATCTGGCCCTTGGGGCACTATTCCTCCCAATGATATGAAGCAGTATTTCTCCCACTGACACCAACTGATCCTGGGCCCGAAACATGTTCTACCCCCACTGGCCACACTCCGGCCCTCTTAAAGTCTGAAGGACCATAAACCAGCCCTTTGAAAAGTATGGAGACCCCTGTTATAGAGGCTTATAGAGACTATGCTCTGCAACCACATTTTATCCTGCCTTAATTACAGAGACATTGCCATGAATAGTTTGTTTGTGCAGCTTCTATTATTCTGCACTGCATGCACATTTTTGCCATCCTGAACCAGTTTTGCATTATTCTTTCTAACTTTACACCTATTTATTAAACTGCAAGTTACAGTTACTTCCCTGTCTGATCATCCTGCCAATTACCTATTCTGTTAAACTTGGCATCTATGTACAAGATCAGCAATGTCAGTGGTATGACAGCAGGGTTAAGTAGTACTACTCCAACTGCAACTACTCCCTCTACACAGATCTGGGTTAGATTTCAGTCAAGAGAATGTGGGGACCCATCTGCAACTGAGCAGACAGCTTCCTGGGAGATCCAAAAAATGACAGAGGAAATGATTCAGCTCCAGTCAGAATTATCCATGTTGAAACATAGACAGGAATACTCATCCCTGGGCAAGGAGGAATACACATCCCAGGCAAGAAGGGGACCACTATGTATGAAGTATGCAAAAACTGTCTTGGAGGCAGCCAAGATAAGCAAGGTAACCAGAGTTGGGCCTGACTGACCGCCCAACTTATACACAAAGAAGCTGTTAAACAATAATGTCCCACTTCCAGGACTCAAGCAGTGGGGCAGCAAAGAGGAACAACTCATCATCTAAGCATCAAAGATGTAGTGATTGACTGTCCTTTTGTGTCTGAATGATTCAACAGCCAAGAGAGTTAATGCCCCTTCAATTCTGGTTCACAATCACTGCCCTTTTAGAATCATTGTTCCAGCAATACTTTTCTAAGAAGATGAACCCAGACTTGCTGTGGAACTTATTGATATCTGCCAATGAGCTCCTCATAGATAAAAGTTCAGGTTACCTCGATGAAAGTGAGGCTGTGGGAACAGAACCTTGGCCAGAGGAGTCTAATGATCACAAACGCCTCTGGGAGGGGGTGGGCATGCTTGATAATGGGCATGAAATACATCCAGGGACACTCTACACACTTAGGTCCTCCTAAAGAAATCAGCAACTGCTGCAATCTCTGGAAGCACCAAGGGCCTTGACACGATGTAGACATCCAGGAAAAAGCTGGCATTGTCAGGGTTCCCTTTGGGACAGAGGTTTTGGTACTACATAATCAAGAACTCATACTTCTCATGAATGTTGGCTCTCACCATGATTGCAAGAGTTCACTGTCCTCATTACAAGACTCCATTTGTCAGTGGGACCTCCTTGGAATCTTAATATCTAGGCTCTTTCACTCCACCTGCTCCCTGGGACCCTTTTTTTTATGTGATTGCCCCAAAGATTGGGCACATAGACTTCTGACAGTTTCATGGTCATCACTACTTGGCAAGAGTGAATATGACTGAGTGGTCAGCAGGAACCAATAGAAAGTTGACAAGAGTGTAAATGCTACTAGTCCTACAAATGACTACCAAGGAACTGACATTCGTTCAATCAGAAGCAGTAAGGCTAGTATTGGATAAGTGGTCAGAAGATCAGAGGTCTCCTACAGGGACAATGACCTGGGTGGAATCCATAGGACAGAGCCCTCCTTCCATGGATTGAGGAATCCAGGTCACATTTTTCTTCACACTTGACCTTGCCACTGGGTGATCCTTGTCACCAAGGTGGACCAGAGGATAAAGAAAGTAAATGGCCGCACACCACCACGGAACTGAACCCAAACAAAATCTTTATTGTCTTCACATACAGGAAAGCAATACAGGACAAGCTGTTCATATTATTAATATATATTATTCATAACAACCATGAATAAGCACATACTCTAAGTGTGAAACACATTAACATCTCTCTTATATGTAAAGACAATAAAGATTTTGTTTGCATTAAGGTCTGTGATGGTGTGTGTCCATTTATCCTCTTTCTCTTCAGTTCAGTGGTGGTGGGCACCCGCACAGATTCATAGCTGTGACTCACCTGAGTGGCATACACATTTCTTTTGGACACCAAGGCAGACCAGCCGAATAATGCTTTCAGTACTCCCATGGGGTTGTGCCTGTTCAAATGCAGTTTGAGCAGAACAACATACCCACCACATTCCAGAGGATGATGGAACACCACCTTGGAAACATAAATCCATATAATATCGTGTTTTATCTAGGTTGTGTAGTGTTGTTTTTTGAATAATTGTTCCTCTGTGACTTGTTAGTAACCTGGGAGGTCATACTGTCAAGGGCCCGGACCCTCACTGTGGCAGAAAATATTTACACTGGGGTGTGACTAAACAAAGAGACAAGCCATGTGTGTACAGTGGATATAAAAAGCCTGTGATGTAAAAAAATGAGACAAAGATAAATCATTTCACAACTTTTCCACCTTTAATGTGACCTATAAACTGTACAACTCAGTTGAACAACAAACTGAAATCTTTTAGGTGGAGGGAAGTAAAAATAAAAAACTAAAATAATATGGATGCATAAGTATGCACACACTTAAACTAAAATACTTGACTTGGCAATATCTGCCCACTCTTCCTTGCAAAAAACACTCCAAATCTGTCAGATTGCAAGGGCATCTCATGTGCACAGCCCTCTTCAGATCACCCCCACATATTTTCAATCAGATTCAGGTCTGGGCTCTGGCTGGGCCATTCCAAAACTTTAATCTTCTTCTGGTGAAACCATTCCTTTGTTGATTTGAATGTATGTGTTGGGTCATTGTCATGCTGAAAGATGAAGTTCTTCTTCATGTTCAGCTTTCTAGCAGAAGCCTGAAGGTTTTGTGCCAATATTGACTGGTATTTGGAACTGTTCATAATTCCCTCTACTTTGACTAAGGCCCCAGTTCCAGCTAAAGAAAAACAGCCCCAAGGCATGAGCCTGCCACCACCATGCTTCACTGTGGGTATGGTGTTCTTTTGATAATGTGCAGTGTTGCTTTTGCACAAAACATATCTTTTGGAATTATGGCCAAAAAAGTTCAAACTTGGTTTCATCAGACCATATGGGCATAACCTATAACACATATGAAGAATGTGGGAGGTTGTTGTCACATGTACCACACAGCCAGTACTTGCCAGATATTCCTGCAGCTCCTTTAATGTTACTGGAGGCCTCTTGGAAGCCTCCCAGACCAGTTTTCTTCTTGTCTTTTCATCAATTTTGAAGGGATGTCCAATTCTTGATAATGTCACTATTGCCCCAAATTTTCTCCACTTGATGATGACTGTCTTCACTGTGTTCCATGGTATATCTAATGCCCTGGAAATTATTTTTTACCCTTCTGTTGACTGATACCTTTTAACAATGAGATCCCTCTGATGCTTTGGAAGCTCTCTGTGGACCATGGATTTGATGTAGGATGCAACTAAGAAAATGTCAGGAAAGACCTACTAGAACAGCTGAACTTTATTTGGGGTTAATCAGAGGCGCTTTAAATGATGGCAGGTGTGTACTGACTCCTACTTAACCTGATTTTGAATGTATGAAAAAAAATGTGGTGCACTATCTCATCATAAATAGAACCATAAGCTTTGGAAACATAAAGTGACAGTCCAAAACATTTTTTTAACAGATAATAAACGTCCATTGCAGTATATTTTGCGTTATCATCCAGCCAAAATCAACACCATGCTTGACTTGTGGTCCCACTCCGTGCTCACCTGGACCATTGACCTATAAATTATAATAGGCCAAAAACACTCTTTATAAGGAAAATGTGTCTCCAAATTTCTGATCTGTGACGTGTTCCTTCCATGTATTATGCTTCTTTAAACTCCAGATCAGTGCAAAGTAAAACAAAAACATACCATAGTGCAAAACCGTTTTGTTACAATATCCACTTACATTACACAAATTATATGTGACTCCGAATTATGGTGAACATATATGCATTACTATACCGTGCCGACTATATTGTGGTGTTTCCCATCACTGGGTAGGTGCACCATGCACTCACCTTCTTCCCTGACCCAATGGATAGGTCATACACGTTTAGTGATGAAACCAGATTCTGCTTATCCACTGCCGATCCTTAGTAGCTACTTCATTAGTTCTGGCCCTTTAAGGGAACATGCTCTTGGATATCACAAGTAATGAATCAACAGCATATCATAGTCATCAATCAAAATGTTTCCACACAGCACTCGTGCCAGTTTTCATGATTTTGAATGTGATTGCTTAATTCTGAACACAGCTACATCCCCAGTAATAAGAGGGTGTGCACGCTTATGCAACCACATTATTTTAGTTTTTTATGTTTACTCCCCCCTAAGAGGGCTGTGCACAGGAGATGCCCTTGCAATCTGACAGATTTGGAGTGTTTTTGCAAGGAAGAGTGGGCAAATATTGCCAAGTCAAGTAGTATTAGTTTAAGTGTGTGCATACTTATGCAACCATATTATTTTATTTTAGTTTTTTATTTTTACTTCCCTCTACCTAAAAGATTTCAGTTTGTTTTTCAAATGAGTTGTACAGTTCATAGGTAACATTAAAGGTGGAAAACGTTCTGAAATGATTTATCTTTGTCTCATTTTTGTACATCACAGAAACCTGACATTTTAACAGGGGTGTGTAGACTTTTTATATCCGCTGTAGGTCTAATTAAGTTGGTTTAACAAGTCTGCCAGCATTTTGTGGCCTGTTTAGCGTCAAAGAAGGCTGAAATTCAGATTCCACCTCTAACTTTGCACATGTCTACCCTCCTGGAAGTGAGGACCATTGGCTTTCTTACACACAACTTGTCAGGAGACTGATACCATCACATTACGGTTATGGTTGATCACTACAAAGTTTGTGGTGGCAGTACCAACCCTCAAACCAGATTGTCAAAACCGTTCTGGTGCTGTAGCACTTTTGCCTTCATTATGACTTTCTACAGAACATGTGTTCATACCAAGGGCCCTGCTTTGAAAACATGTTCTTTCAAGAATGGTGTCACTCACTTGACATTAAGAAGTCAAACACTACACTGTACCACCAAGACAATGGGACATATAAGAGGGTCATTCACTTGGATATGGATGTTTATTGCTTTCTCTGTCCTCACTGGGAAGACTGTTCGTACTGACTGAGTGGTCATCAAGATGGAAAGTGAGGGGAAATTTCCCCAGTGGCTACAGCATAAAAACCTGACAATGATTCCAAGTTTTCCATATTATGTTCAAAACATAAAGAAATTTAATTTGGCCAAATGTTCTCAAATGTCCGCTGACTTCTACCTTCTGCTGAGAAAGTTTCTAATATTTTAACTAATACATAATATTTTTATTGTATTATTTATGAAGAATATTATTATAACTAGCAGTCATATTATTGAAACATGATAGAATGATATGGGTCGATTTAGAATAAGCTGTTCTGCATACTGTACAGTATGTTCATATTGTGCTTCTCTTTGTTCTGGTAAAGGTTGGAGGAATGTTTGACACAGTACAGAGAAGCACACAGTGGACTGCAGACTGGGCTGTTTTACTTCTTCAGATAATTACATCAGGCACAGTTGACATGCAAACAAACAAGTGAGTTTTACCTTTGTTAATTCTACATATACTGTAGTAGTTCTAGTGGTTCTAGTGTCATCTTAGGAAATCTGGTTCTTTTTATGTGTTGCCAGCAGGGGGAGTGTCAGGCTGTAACATCTCAGCTTCTGAAAGAGCATTGGAAAGATGTTGAACAATCACAAAAATTGACAGCAAACTATATCTTTACTATGTGCATGGAATTTGTTTTACATAGTTTACCAACAACATTTCTTGTTTCAGCAAGAAATAATGCAAATATTTCAGAGACACTGGCCCAGGGAAATTCATACCAGTGTTTTTAATACTTTATTCCTTTTGCATGTAGGGAATGGTTCAGTCCCCTGTGTACAATTGGGAAAATGTCTTGTCCTGTAGACACAACAGGAAATAGTGTAGAAAGAAAACCCCCTATTAGGCCTAGTTTACACTTGTGACCAAGGGGTAGTAAAAATAGGCAGTTTAGTGGTTTTACTATAGACCATATTTACCCCCTAACCCCCTCCGACTGCCCTCCTTAAAGTGGGTCTAAAGGCAGAAGGTTTTTCTGATGCATTCCCTGCATTTAGGTAAAAAAAATCTTCTACAAGCAGCTCCCCCCTCAGCCCCCAATTATACTTACTTGAGCCTGGTCTTGATCCAGCAATGCACATGAGAGCAGCATCTGGCTTTCTCTCCTCATTGGCTCAGACACAGCAGTGGGAGCCATTTGCTCCTTCTGCTGTAAATCACAGCCAGTGAGGAGGGAGCAGGAGCAGGACAACTCATGGGGCCCCTGGGCAATAGGGGATCATGGGGCCCCCGTGTCCTCACCCACACCCAAAAGAGCCTAAAAAAAAGCCAATAAAAGGTACCAGGGGCATCTCATGGGGCCCCCTACTGACTCCTGGACCTCGGGCAGTGCCCGAGTGCTCGAATGGTCAGTCTGCCCCTGAGCAGGAGGCAAGGCTGAGCCGCACTCTGTGTCTTTTGAACACACAGAGCTGGCTTGGGAGTGAGCACGCACAAGTGCCCCCATAGCAAGTGGCTTGCTATGGGGGCACTCAGGAAGGGGAGGGGTCAGGAGCACTTGTGGTAGACTCCAGAAGAGGACAAAACCATAGCACAGAGCAGGTAAGTATGACATATTTGTTATTTTACTAAAATAAAAACTATACTTTTACAATCACTTTTACACAGCAACTGGAGAGGTTTTACCCGCATGATACTATGTTTCAAGCTCACTGCAAAATGTATATTCTGTTATACTTTTCAAGTGAAAGGATCTACTCTGCAACCACCTGCAACTTTGTGCAATGCATGTAATTGTAGTGCTGGTGATATGGACTTACAGGATTTAAATAGGCAGTAAGGCGCTGACATATTGCCACCTGGCTACCTGTCAAATGCCCTCTGAACAGCAATCAACCGCGGCAAAGGCTGCTGGAAGTGTAAATGATCCCTTAGTTGTCATCAGAACAAATGTCCCCATTTGAAGATTTCCATACTAATACATTTCTAGTGAAAATTTGAGGTTTTCATTTATTTTCAGTCCTAGTGACAATTGTCAAAAGGACAAATTGAGAAAGCAAATCTCCCTAGCAGACACATGCCAACACCAATAAAAAAAAACTGATAGGCATAGGTGTGGAGCCTATTGCATTAGGGTATGCACCCCAAAGCTCAAACAAGCTGTGTGTGTGTATACTGTATATGGCAGAGCCAGTCAGTGGGAGATCTTTCCCATATCCCTGCCGGCATAGTGAAAGAGAAGTGCCAAAGCACTTCTCTTATGGCAGAGCTGGTAAGAGAGAGATCTTTCCCAACTTCTTGTCGGCACACAGAGCAATATGCTAATGGTTACAGGGTGATTAGGGTGTGCTCAGGCATATCGGGCACATCCCCTGCACACGTCTATGCTGATAGCGGTTCTAACTCCTCACCAATATATAAACCTAATAAAAAGTTGTTTAATTTAGTTATGTCTGAGAAGGTTCAAATTTATCAAGGTCATGGTATAGTTAGTAGTTGTCAGTTACATTCAACAAGATAATAATTTTGAATGAGTTCAATGTCATTCTGATCCAGAGGCTTTCTCTGAGTCACTACCATGTAAGATATACATAAATCAGGAGTTTTGTCTTTAGATGCTTCTTATTCCAGGCCAGTGACTCAAAGTAATGAAAGCAGAGAAAACCAGAGAAACAGAATGTTCAGAAAGAGGTCAGCATTGGCAGCCCCATATTTTTCTCATTAAATATTTCCTCTGGCAGTACTGGCATTTAACAATGCACACTTGTATTTTTTAACTCACAGAGAAATCTGACATGTTTTTCTTTGGCAGTGAATTATTCACAACTGTTCTTGATATGCTGGGTGTCTTAATAAATGGAACCCTTGCCTCTGATCTTTCCAACGTGTCTCAAGGAAGTTCAGAAGAAAACAAAAGAGCTTACATGAACTTAGTGAAGAAACTAAAGGTATGACTGTGTACACTTTATCCTACTTCAGAGGGGAAATATTGTATGAGTAAATGAGAAACATAGGCCTTGCTGCTTTATGTAACAATATTTCACAATACCAGGTGTGAGAGAAGTCAAACATTTGGAAGCCATGGCACTTAGTTATATAACAAGGTGCCTTGCAGCCCTTTCATGTGGCTTATTTCTGAGCTAAGGTGTAGGTGAGCCATAGGAAATCCCTTGCTGAACTGTAACCTCGGATATTTTCTGTTTACAAGTGACAGCTCAGAAACCAGGCACTAATGATGAACAAACCAAGCAAAGTTTGGTTTAATGAACAATTGAAAAAATCTGCAAACCCCAAACCTAGTACCCAAGGTGAATCTTGTTTTTTCTGGCTTTTCAATGCAATATGCAAGCTTATGTGAGCAGATGGTATGGGTATCTGTGCATTGCCAAGGACGACATGTACCAATGCGAAAAAATAAAATACTTATCAGCGAGGAGCATCGTTTATTTTTAAAGCTTAAAGGACAATGTTAAAAATACACAACTCCTTTAAATAAAATGTGTATGGGTAATGCTTTTGACATGGTCAACTGACTGAAAGAGACAAAAGGACAAAGGTCACTGCAGAGCTCAATTTCAGTCCCATGAAGACTGTGATTGAGCTCTGCAGTCAATTTTGCAGCAGTCGTTTTCATGGGTCACAATCCTGCACAATGTCCTTTTTTCTCTTTCGGTGAGTTGACAACGTCGACTGCACTTATGCTTACCAGATTAACCAGTTGCCGCCTGGACTATAGTCAGATGGTGGGCCGGACGAACAGTTCATCCCTCCGGGTGGATGCCACATGGTGTCCTTTCTGGAACGCGCATTGGACATGCCCTCAGGGCTGCTCTGTGGCGACATCTGTCACCGGCCGTGTACCTCAAACACGGCCGATGACAGATCTGTGTACCGGCCCCGTTGCTTGTACCATGTGACCTGCTGTGACCAATCACAGCAGGTCACATGACAGTTGTTTACAATGGATGGCTTCCTTTCATGCCATCCATTGTATACAAGTGTGTCTAGCTGTGAATGGTCACAGTGATCACATGCACAAGCTGGGCCAATCACAACCCAGCTGTATCATGTGATTAGCCATGGCCAAATCACAGCTAATCACAAAAAAAAAACCTGAATGAATCGATTTCATTCAGGTAAATGCTTGCTTATAGCAAAGTAATTCTTTGCTATAAGCAAATTGTGTAAAAAAAAAAAAATACTGATCACTTCCCCAAAGTAGTACAATGTTACTATGATAACATTGTCCTACTTTGGTCATAGTGAAATATGAAAAAATCTTAATAAAAGAGAAAAAAAAACGTAATAAAAAATGAAAAAAAAAAATTTTTTTTTTTTCGTACTTCCACCAGTCAGTGTCCCTGATCACCGCCATGCCAGTTATATGATGACGCTGTACTGCACTGGTGACAGTATGTAAAAAAAAATAGTGAATATCTTTTTTTTTAATTTCTTCATTTTCCGAAAAATTATGACAAAAAAATTACAACTTCAAAAAACTCACCATGCCTGTTATGAAATACATCGGACTGTCTACTTTGCAAAAAGGGGTAATTTGGGGGATATCTGTACTGTTCTGACATTCTTGGACCTCAAGAAATTAGATTGGCTGTTAGTACTTCAGGATTGATCAATTTTCAGATATATCCCATAGTTTGTGAACTCTATAACTTTCCTACAAACTAAATAATAAATACTAGTTTGGGTTATTTTCACCAAAGACATGTAGCAGAATACATCTTGGCCTAAATTTATGAAGAACAATTATTTATTTGCAAACTTTTATAACAGAAACAAAGAGAAATGTGGGTTTTTTTCAAAGTTTTCTATCTTTTTTGTTAATTTAACAAAACATAAAAACCCCAGTGGTGATTAAATACCACCAAAAGAAAGCACTAGTTGTGTGAAGAAAATGATACCATTTTAGTTTGGGTACAATGTTGTATGACCGCGCAATTGTCATTCAAAGTGTGAGAGCGCTGAAACCTGAAAATTGGCTTGGGCAGGAAGGGGGTAAAAGTGCCCGGTATGGAAGTGGTTATGTTTTCCTGGAAACTGTATATGAAATGTCATAATGTCAAATAATGTACCTCACAACACAGCAAATAATTTGGCAATTTTAGTCACAGAGGCACCAGCTAAGTGGGCACCAACAATTTGCCCTCTTTGTAGCTCGCTGAGCTCTGAAATGACTCTGTATTAATAGCAGAGCATGCAGGGCCGTAGATAATTTTTTGTTCTGGGGGGATTCAGTAGCAGGTACCAGGTTAAAGTCTTTTTAATAAAAGTAAAATATGACAAATTCAAAGTATGGTTGTCTATTAGACAGTCATAGGGTGCAAACTAAACAAATGCAAAGTGAGTGTGCTGCCTACCACAATATGGTGCTTTTTGCACCACCTTAGTCAAGTTAACTATTAAGGTGCAAAGGGCACCATTTTGGGTCAGTAGCACACTCATTGATTTTTTACCCTTAGCAGATAAAAAAAAAATGTGTGAATGCACTGCCTACCACAGAATGTTGCCTTTTGCACTGTAATAGCCATCATTACCGGGCAGGTGCGAAGGTCATTGTCATCTTGTGGAAGGCAGCATACTCTCTGTTTTTTTTGCTAATCTTTGCCAAAAAAAGCTGTGAGTACATTGTATACCACAAGATGGTACCCTTTTTATCTGCTGTGGTGGCACACTAAGGGCTGGTTTACACTGCCCACGCTGGCACACTAAGGGCTGGACGGTATGATGTGCTTCAGTGCATCACTCAGTTCCTTTTTTATTCCTTTTTTTTGTGTGACCCTTACTTTTTAATATATTTATAAATGATATAGGGTCTGGGATTTAAAATCCCATTTCAGTCTTTGCAGATGACACCAAGCTGTGCAGTGAGATAACGCCCTTACAGGATGTCTCCAACTTACAAGCCGACCTCAATGCACTGTTTAATTGGGCAACTATGTGGCAAATGAGATTTAATGTTGATAAATGTAAGGTTATGCACTTGGGAGCTAAGAATATGCATGCATCATACATACTAGGGGGAGTACAACTGGAGGAATCAATGGTGGGAAAAGGATCTGGGAGTTCTGGTAGATCACAAGCTTAATAATGGCATGCAATGCCAAGCTGCGGTTTCTTAAGCAAGCAAAAAATCATCTCTTGTATTAAAAGAGGTATAGACTCCAGAGAGAGAGATATCATTTTACCCCTGTACAAATCATTAGTAAGACCTCATCTGGAATATGCAGTTCAATTTTGGGCACCAATTCACAAAAAAGAACATTGGGGAACTTGAGAAAGTACAGAGAAGGGCAACCAAACTGATAAGAGGCATGGAGGAGCTCAGCTATGAGGAAAGATTAGAGGAACTGAATTTTTATTCTCTCTTGATAAGAGGAGATTAAGGGGGGATATGATCAACATGTATAAGTACATCAGTGGTTCATATAGTGAACTCGGTGTAGAGTTATTCAGCCTGAGGTCATCACAGAGGACAAGGGGGCACTCTTTACGTCTGGAGGAAAAGAAATTTAATCTCCAACACGGATAGGTTTCTTCACAGTGAGAGCTGTGAAAATGTGGAATAGACTCCCTCAAGAGTTGGTTCTGGCCAGCTCCGTGGATTGCTTCAAAAAAGGCCTGGATTATTTCTTGGATACACAGAATATAACTGGATACTAAAATTTATAGGTAAAGTTGATCCAGGGAATATCCGATTGCCTCTCGGGGGATCAGGAATGAATTTTTTTCCCAGCAGGAGAAAATTGGATTATGCTTTACTGTTTTTTTTGCCTTCTTCTGGATAAACTGTGGGTATAGGATTAAAACTTTTTTTTTTCTATGGTTGAACTGGATGGACTTTTGTCTTTTTTCAGCCAGACTAACTATGTAACTATGAAGTTTAAAAAGTGTACTTCATTCATGTCACAGCACAGCAAGAGGGTACATTGCGCTGCTGTGTGGTGACATGTGGCACCTTCCTGTGCACTGTGATAAAATGCAGCACAGCTCACTGCACCGTACCTCCAGGCTGTGTTGCAGTGTAAACAGGGCACATAGAAAATAATTGTTTTCTTTGTGTCATAGCAGAGACCTATGTTCATTCAATGCAGTAAAACATAGGTCACTGCAGTATGTGTGAACACAGCCTAAAACATTATAATAACCAAGCCATCCTTACTGCGCAACTTTATCTTAGCATTGCAAAGGCCACTACATTATGGTAGGCTATTTATAACCCATTCAAACTAAGGCCTCCTTCACGCAGCCATTTAGATGCACCAACTGGATTCCAATGGCTAGAATCAGCGGCTTCTTGCGGCTGGAATGGCTGGGGAATAGCAGTGGTTGCTTAGCCCATTTAAACAAATGACAGGCTGACAGCGGTCTCCACTGTTCGCATGCAGTCACAAACAAAGCAGTTACCTGCAGTTAGAGACAGTTGTCTAAGCCTTGACACAGCTGATAAAAAAAGCTGCATTTTTTGTGGCTGTGTGCATGAATTCTGGGAGAAGTGGTACTGTGCAGAGTCCATACATACAGAATAAGAACAGGTACTGAGAATTACACCCATCATACAGAACAGGAGAAGTAGTACTGAGGTCAGAGACTGCAAACCTACTACAGATAGTCAGATACTGTAGACATACTACAGGAGATGATCAGAGACTGCAGATATACTACAGGAAATGGTCAGAGACTGCAGACATAGTAAAGGAGATGATTGGAGACTGCAGACACACTAGAGATGATCAGAGACTGCACACACACTACAGGAGATGGCCAGAGAGTGTAGACATACAACAGGAGAGGGTAAGAGAGAGTGCAGGCATACTACAGGAGATGGTTAGAGACTGCAGACATACTACAGAAGATAGCCAGGCAATACAGACATACTACAGAAGTTCAGAGACTGCAGACTTACTATGGGAAATGGCCAGACTGCAGGCACACTACAGGAGATGGTCAGATACTGCTGGCATACTTCAGGAAATGGTCAGAGACTGCAGAGATAATACAGAAGATGATCAGAGACTGCAGATATACTACAGGAGATGGTCAGAGACTGCAGACATACTACAGGAGATGGTCAGAGACTGAAGGCATACTACAGGAGATAGTCAGAGACTGCAGGCATATTACAGACATATAACAGCAATTCTGCCCATGATCCCAAATCTCTATGTGAACAAGGCCTAACATGACAGAAATGGAAGACTCAGCCCAGCCTCAATCACCAACCTTGCCAGTTTCCAGCTGAGATTGGCACTAGAAAAAATAAGGGGAAGGAGAAGTGTGTGTGTGTGTGGGGAACAGAGTAGTTGGGGAATTCCTTATTCATTTCAACATCCATACCAGATTATTATCCTTCTTGAGGGTCTGGTATAGATAAAAAAAATAAAAATAAACTGCATGTGGTCCCCCCAAAAATCCATACATTATATTAATAGACATTTATTTTTAATGAGGGTCTGGTATTAATTTTGAGGAGGAAACCCAGGAAAAAAAACTAAAAATAATAAAGTGCAAGCAAGGTTTCCACCCTCAAAATCCATACCAGACCCTCATCCCCAAATCCAACCCGTATCCATAATAGGAGCATACACTCTTCCTCAACCCGCTCCTGAGCCATACCCAGACCACATGCTCTTAACATAGGGAGGGTTCCTTGCCAGGGGGACTCCATAACAGTAGGACACCATGTCCCCATGTTGATGGTAACCAGAACCTCATCCCCACATCCCAAGACCAATGGGTCTGACGGGATGGACTTATTAGAATCTGGAATATGGAGGGTCTCCAAATATCTGCCCCCTCCCCATGTGATTGAGTAATTGAGTAATTACTACCCCTTATCACTCATTTACAAAAAAACGTGAACTGTAAATAAAATCCGAAACCTTACAAATATTCCTTTATTTAAAAAAATACAGAAGTAATGTTCCATGAGGTAGATCCAATGTCAGTCATGTCGTTGAGTGATATAGATCCAGCAATACTCACAATGAATGGGTCCCTGATGATCTACCAATACAAACACGCCAATGGTCTGCTCCTGCTTATACACTCGCTGCAAATGACATTTCCCTAGCTGAAAGCTGAGTGTAAACAAGGATGGTAGGATGCTGGCTGAAATCATTGCCCAGTTATGGTCATCAATGTCACCATGGCTGCCCACTGACTTGTTTACAATTTGAAACAAGCTGGCTGGCATCAGGATCCTTGGTTGCTATGATGCTAACAGCCACCTGCATCCTAGCAACCAAGGATGTTGTGTGGCCACCTACATCCTAGCAACCAATGATGCTTGCAGATCACACAGCATCTTTGCTTGCTAAAACACAGGTGACCAGAGCTGCACAGCGCCACTGGTTGTTATGGTGCAAGCAGCCTAGCAACCAATGACAGGGGAAGGGGGTTGGTCCTGACTGGAAACTGACACCGTCACTAAATGAATAGCTTCTGGCTGCAGAATTTGGGGGTTCAGTTGGACAAACCGGTCAAAATCTGGTAATTCAGTATGCAGTGATTAGCTTGTGTCAAACTCAAGGTCGACCCAAACTTGAAGCTCATTCCTAGTGTGCAACTGTTTCATCCTCCATTATGACCTCACCAAACAAAATCTGCTGTATATACAACAGCTTTTATGTGTATTGTTTATCACTAAAAATAATTTTTTTGAGAGTTTGAATAGTCGTTAATATTAAAAGTTGTTTTAGTATTGACTATCAAACTATGGTTGGGAGTTTTCTTTCTAGAATATAATATGTATTTGGTTGATAATAAAACATTGTAATCCTTTGTTCTTTTGCTGCTTTTCTTTTATTCCCAGAAAGAACTAGGTGATAAGCGATCAGAGAGTATTGATAAAGTCCGCCAGCTTCTGCCTTTGCCAAAACAGACTTGTGATGTCATTACCTGTGAGCCCATGGGGTCTCTGATTGACACAAAAGGCAACAAAATTGCAGGGTTTGACTCTATTGATAAGAAACAGGTAAAATAAATATTGACTAGTTTTGTGTAATTACAGAGCATAATCCATGTCTTTTTCTATGGTCACTTCTTTGAAACCAGGGCAGCCATTTTTCTGTATATAACATGTTGTACAGAATGTTCTTGTCTATGGCATGTTAGATCCTGCACAGGGCCAAAGATTCAGTCATCAGGTCAAAGAAAAGAGACCCGCAAACCTCCCTGCTAATTAATTTGTGTTATCATTAAACAAATGGAAAAATATGAGTGTATTCAAGAACTTAAAGCAATATTAGGATAATTCAAGTAACCTAATGTGTCCTTGTGTTGTTTTACCACCTGTAGTCTGTTGTACAAGATTTTGAGGTCAACCGTGCTGCTTTAGAAGTTAACCTGCTCAGACTTTGCATACTAAAGTATTTATGTGTTCTGAACATGCATTAAAAGTACTTTCATACAAGCTCTCATTCACCTCTGTAGCTATAGGCATTCTTGGGCAAATTCCCTTGCAAAATGAATAGCTTACCTGCCATAGTAAATCAACCCTTTTGTATTCTTTGGGGATATTGAGAAAGAATAACTTCACAATTCAAGCAGCTAGAGAGGTCCTTGATGGCTTATTTTAAAGGTCTTTTACATCATTTAGGAATGTGTACATACTTTAATGTCCCTAGTCTAGGCACAAATGAAGTTTAGATTTAAGCCACATCCCTCTGATGTTTGTATGTACAGTATGTACTGTATATCTTCCTGTCAGTTATGATATGAGACTGTTGAAAGTAAACCTTTAGCAAAAGGGTGTCATTGCTGGCCGAAATCAGAAAAATACAAGTTGCCTTGTTATGATGCCTACCTTGTGGCTTCAATACTGTCTGAGTAACTAACTTGAAAAAAGTATGCATGCCAAAGTCAATAGCACTACGTATTCTTGGTTAGTGACTCAAAGTATTAAAAACAAAAGGTTAACATATCTTTCAATTGCAGATTGGGAAGTTAGCAATGGCAGCTTGATGGTTTCTCTAAAGCAGTGGTCTTTCCAAACTATGGCCCTCCAGCTGTTGAAGTACTACAAGTCCCATCATGCCTCTGCCTCTGGGAGTCTTGCATGTGCCTATCATCATCTTGCAAGGCCTCATGGGACTTGCAGTTCCTCAACACCTGGAAGGCCATAGTTTGGAGACCCCTGCTCTAAAGAAAAGGATTACTTTACAGTAGCAAGAAGTAGTCCAGCAGCAGGGAGTAAAATACATCTCTGACTACCATTTAGCTCTATTTGACTTCTAGTCAAAGGTACAAATTTTGTTAAAGTATATCTCTAGGCAAAACCTGTCCAATATATCAAGAGAGTAATAATACATTTTCTGAATGGTCTAAGGTAGTGAGCAGAGTGCCCCAGGGTCCAGTGACCAATTCTGTTTATAAATGGTATAAAGGTGAGAAAAATTAAAACAATTAGCTATATTGCAGATGAGGTTGAGTACTGAAATTTGTAAACTTATCCACTTGAGTGCCAAAAAAAAAAATATATATAGGATACCCATCAGAAGGTGGGAATCAGGGAAGGAAAGAGATTTGGGGGTCCTTGTAGACCATACAAGAAGAGTTCAGAGAGGGGCAACACTATTACTAAGAAGGGTGGAGGACCTAATTTATGAGGAGAGATTACATAATTTAAACATATTCTCCTTGAAGAAGAGGCACTTAATATGGGTATGCCAGCATTGTACAAATTTATCAATGGTAACACAACATTGGACATACACTCTTCAATCTAGAAACTCTGAAGGAGACGTGACCACACCATGAAGTTAGACTACAAAAAATGTATTTTTATATCCATTAGGGATCCCTATTGTTACAACAGTAAAATTGTGGAAGTCCCTTCCATAGTTAGTGCTACCAGCTGAGAGCATAGTAAAAGTTTCTCAGTGAACACAATAGACAGGGATATGGGAATCAACACACACACACACACAAATATAGGTGTCTTATTCAACCTTACCAACCACATAACTATGTAGCTATTTTGGTTAATGGTAGATAGGGGAATGATTAGACCATCTATCAAGTTTGTATTGCTTTCTGTGACCCTATTGGGGAGATTTACCCTTCTCATTGTAATGCTGACCATTGTCATTGAGAAAGAAACTTAAGAAATCCAAAATGCTGAAGTTGTCCCCAAAACAAGAGATGTAGAGAAATGTTTCAGTGAGGAGATCTGTTCTGGGGACGACTGTCTGAGAGGGAGATTTCCCTCAGTTTGGGAGATTTCCCCTAACTTCGTTAGTTTGTTGTTGAAAGTTCCCCAATGATATGTAGACAAAAAAATAATAAACTGGCAGGAATTTTAACCCTTGCCTGCCCATACAAGACTAACATAAAAGCTGTGTCTATATATACAATAATAATAGTAAATAACACCTTTTATTGGTAGATCCAGAGCTCGTTTGCACCAAGACTCAAGCTAAAATGTGTGCAAGCTGACAGAACTTTTCAGGTCTTCTGGAGAATAAATACACAATAGTGTGTTACAACATGTCTGCAACACAGGGGGTTATTTACTAATACTGGAGAGTGTGAAATCTGGAACAACTCTGCATAGAAACCAATCAGCTTCCAGGTTATATTGCCAAAGCTTAACTGAACAAACTGAAGTTGAAAGCTGATTGGCTACAAAGCACAGCTGCACCAACTTTAGTAAATTCCAACTGACTTGAGTTGTCCAAAAAAAACTTTCAGTTTTAATCTACTCAACCAATAAAATGGTATCACTCACTCCACTATCTCCTAAGGTTTAAAGCTGGAATCTGGCTACAATACAGATCTGTTTTGCCTGCCAGAGGATTTGTAATACTTTGATCTAGTCACCTCTGCCAGACAGCACAGCAAGGCCCCGGACAACTTTGGTTAAGTAATACAGCCCTGTAATAGGCTGGCAGTACTATAAAAGCAATAAAGTTTGATTGGCCTAGATATCAACCCCTCCCATTCTTGATGTTGCTGTGCAAAGATTTTACAAAACCTAATAGCAAGACCGACTGAGATATGTTTGCTATTCCTATGTAAAATAGATGCAATACATTTTTAATGGATACATAACTTTATTTCATATATGTATATGTGTCAGAAAACCAGCTTTAACAAATACAAGCCAAATGTTAAAACATTTTACAGCATGCCATTTTTGTATTGTTCTGCAGGGCCTTCAAGTTTCAACCAAACAAAAGGTATCTCCTTGGGACCTATTTGAAGGTCACAAGAACCCAGCTCCTCTCTCATGGGCCTGGTTTGGCACTGTTCGTGTGGACAGAAAAGCAATCAAATATGAGGAACAACATCACCTTCTTCTCAACCACACACATCCAAAGCCCAAACCTCCTAGTTATTACCTGGAGCCATTGCCGCTTCCTCCAGAAGAAGAGGAAGAAGAAGATGAACCCAGCACTTCGGTGTATGCAGACCCAGAAGGAAAAACAACAGATTTATCTGATCCTGGCAAATTAGTAACTGATGAAGAAAAAAAGTCCAAAAGCAGAAAGCGCAAAACCAAGTCCAACCCACGAACAGACGTATGTTATTGTTTAATTCCTTGTGTGCATCTAATTGCTTGCAGGACTCTTGCAAGTTCTAGAGTGCTGACCACAGTTATTTTTGTCACTGTTTACTTAATTAAATGCCTTTTTCATGTCCTTTGAAGAGAAGTTCACCAGGGTGGCAGCCATTCTTGAGAATGCTGCTTTCCCTTTGATATCAGTTGGTATCGAATAGTCTGTGCCAGGTGTAGGGCTGCAGAGACCGATACATTAACTGTAATGTATTAGTGCTATTATATAAGAAAAGCCACCTTGATTGTAACATTTCCCAGGTACAAATGTCTCTTTTTCCTTTGTGTTAGTGTGAGAATAGCAAGCTTCAAATGGCAAGCTGAAAACCTACACCCTGTTACTACAGTGTAGCAATATTGAAAAGACTGTAATGTAACAAATTGTATCATTCCAGCTCTCATTTTTACAAGCTGATATTTGCAAATGAAAGGCTTCATGCACACAGGACGTTTTAAATGCCGCTTTTAGTCCTCATGCACACTGGACATTTTACAGCTGCTGTTTTTGGCTTTTGACGTTTTTTTCCACACCCAGTAAACCCCCCAGCATATTATCCTATGTGTCCATGCACACATAGACTATAATCAACGTTTTCTGGCAGGGACATTTTTTGGATGGCAAAAAAAAACAACCCAGGATTAGTGGGTTTCTAGAGGAGTTTTTTTAGCTGTAAAAATGCTCTAACTCTGAAAAATGCAGCAAAACATAGTAAAACCCTGCAAATGGGCATTTTTGGACCCAAAAAATTATATTTTTAGGGGTTGAAAAAAGCTAAAAAAATGCGAACGTTGAAAAAATGCGGGAAAACACCACTAAATGGGGCAAAACGCTTTTAAACGCTAATGCAAAAACACTAAAAAACTTGCATTTTTAACGTGACTTTACACAGCTAACGTTACCAGCATTCTCAAAACACCCCTCAATGCTAGCCTATGTGTCCATGCACACAGGCTTTTAGAATGGAGGTAAACAGATGTAAGCAGACAATGTCCGTATTTGCATCAGTTTTTGCATTGGTTGTTAAGGAGCCATGCACACAGGCATTTAGAGATAGAAAATAAACCCAGGGCTAGTGCATTCAGTAGGGTTCCAGCATCAAAAAACACTTCATACACATAAACATGCTTTAGCTCTAGGAGCATCAAACGATTGAGCATTTATTCCAATGACCAGAATAAATGAATATTCTAGCCAATGGAATGAATGCACGGCCAAGAGCTTGATGTGCCAAAATGGGGCACGTTTAATGCTGGTTTTTCCTCCACTGGATTCCAATGTTCCTGTGTGCATCCTATGTGTATGGGGCCAAAGGTGATTCTTAATGTTTGTTTGTTTGCTTTGGACAGTACATATAATGTTAGGCCCCTTTCACGCGGCCTTTCCATCTGTCTGTTTTTTATCCATCCATTGGAAAATGAACAGCAATGCATTTCTATGGGCAAACAGATATAAACAGCTGATCATCTGTTTACACCTGCATCCCTTCAGGTCCTTTATCTTAAACAAGTCTTCATCCTGTTCTGTTTAGATGGACCTGAATGGAGGTAGGCGAATGTAAACAGACAATGTCCGTGTTTGCATCAGTTTTTGCATTGTTGTTAAGGAGCGGGCACCTGCTGGTGCCCTAACAACCATGAATCATCCCTGCTGTCAGTGGGGAATTCCCTCGCACAAGGGCCAGTTCACAGCACAAAAAAGTAGTGATGTGTTTTTTATTACAGCTCATACCACACACGGTGCATTTTTTTATGCATTTTGCTGTGTTCCAGTACAGTTCTGTGCTGAAAAAATGCAGCATGTTCTACAATTTTTTATGCTCTAGAAACTGACTGGAACTGATTGCTGGTGTGAACTAGGGCTATTGGAATACAAAGAAAACACTGTACATGCATTTTTGATACAGAAAAAATGCACTGGGACTGCATCTGCTGTGAACCAGCTCTAAAAGATATTAAAGCAATATTAAAAGGTTTTTTTTTTTTGTAAAACAACAAACATGTCTATACTTACCTGCTCTGTGTGGTGGTTTTGCACAGAACAGCCTGGATTCTCCCATCTTGGTTCTCCCGCAGGCTCTCCTGGCTCCTCCTTTCCATCATGTGCCCCCATAGCAAGCAGCTTGCTATGGGGGCACCCACTGCTCTGTGTGTCCATTCACAGAGAGCCGTGGCTTGGCCCTGCCCCCTCTCTCTCCTCGTTGACTGACTGGCTGTGATTGACAGCAGGGCGAGCCAATGGCTCCTGCTTGCTGTCTTAGCCAATGAGGAGGAAGAGACCCTGGAGAGCCGAGGCCGTTGTGCACATTGATGGATCACGATAGGGCTCAGGTGGGGCACTGCTGTACACAGAAGGTTTTTTACCTTCATGCATAGAATACATGAAGGTAAAAAATTTTGAGCCTTTAGAACCACTTTAAAGCTTTGGACCCATATTGGAGAACCTGGTGCTGGTTACATTCTTCTCCTGTGTCATTAAGCCTTTAGAACCACTTTTAGATTGGGAGGACTGACCCTCGAGATTAGGAGGACTGACCTTTTAAATAAGATAGACAAGCACAAGCTGTATTCTCACTGAATGTTAGTACAGTACTGCACAAATTAGCACTTTGCTGTAATTAAGTAAATTAGAGCAGTCTGTTTTAGACACTGTTCAGATGGATGTTCTATGAACAGTGGAATCTTCATTAACTCAGAGTTTGTTCTTTCTGTGTAGTTGAGTATGTACTAGTTGATGTCGTTTTAGCTACACATAAAAGGTGTGTTCATTTACACTTCATGCTAACACTGCTGAAGTTACAGAACATTCAAATGAAAAGCAGTTGTGAAATAGCTGAGTACATTTTTTGTAATGTTCATACATGTGCATTTGGTGAGAATCAGTCAGATGCCAAATAGACTGTAAGATCTAAAACTGACACATGTATTAAATTACAACCCCTTCCACTGTCTCTCCCCGCCATATAACCACACAGACTTCTCTTATTCCTTAGGCTAGAGGTGAAAGTGGAGATCAGTAAGGAATGAAAAAGCCCACAAATGTTTTTCCCTAGACTAATAATGAAATCAAGCAGTTTAAATAAGAAACAGATAGAGGTTTCTCTTAACAAGAAATCCTCCAGACGCCATAAACTTCAGGTAACGTAAAGGATAACATGCATTAAAAAGTAGTTAATCACTGGATTACCCCACAGCATTTTTAATAGTTCCATTTCTACAACAGGGAGTTCAGGAAAATAGAAGCATAGTTTTATTTCTGCAAAAGAGAATAGAAGGGAATAGCAGCATGCAGGCTGTTTCTGATGACTTCCGTCCCCCTTCTTTTTTTTTTTCACATTTAAGTTTTTATTTGGTTTTTCAGAGACAAAACAGAAAAAGAAAAAGAAACATCTTGAGATAAAACAATAACATAATGAAAATAGCATAATGTCTTAATATAGGTGTTACAATAGAATTTATGAAACAGAGAAAATTAGGTAATTCCTAAGAGTCATGAAAGTTAACAGGGTTAATCAATTGAAGTAAAAAAAAAACTTAGAGTTTTGCATAAATATTGAACATAGCTATTTTTTTTCCTTTAAATTTTGGTTTTAAACCAGTTGGACCTGGGTTTCCATCTTCCCCCTTCTTCAGAGTGCCCTACACAGAGCCATAGCCCTGGTTTGGTCACTAAGCTTGGAAGCCTCTAACCATACTTACCTTGGTGGTTATCTCAATACTATATGTGGGCTCTCTGGTTGCAACTACAGAGGGTATGGGGAATCATATTTTCACAGTGGTTACATTAACAGGAGCTGGTCCCGCTACCTAGAGATCATTAACAGTCACCAAAAGCTATCTTTCATGGCCCCGTCTCTGTGCTGGGAGTATGCAGTGAGCGCGTTCTCAGTACAGAAAAAACAACTGGACAGTAAGTCATATGTATGGTGAATGGGCATCAATGCCTACACATATATGTTACACAGGTTGCAAGGGTTAAAGAGCCATACTATTTATTTAAACAAAAATATTATCATAAGAATATATGTGCATTCAACATACTTTATGTATGTTATTTAACTGTAAATAGACATATGCATGCCGGAAATTTTCGTTTTGTTTGAAATGCACTTGTTTATTGACAAATTTTGTTTTGTCATATTCGTCATGTTGAACCGAATCATTTTTAAAATTCATTTTGTTATATTCGGCATTCATTTCTATATTAATTGGTCCAGGTGGATTTGAAAAATGTTGCATTTTTTTTTTTCAGATGATTGCTATAGAATTTGGGTGGATTCGATATTCATTAATCGAAACTATTCAGAAGGCTTCAATATTTTCGGATGCAACAGAATAAATAATGCAAAATCCAGCAGCCCCACATTTTTCAAACCTAAGAATTGCATTAGGCTATGAAACTGAATTGACTGACTGTGACAGTTGCAAATTCAATTTAAATCACAAATTTACTTGAATCCGAATTATCGAATTAATTAGAAAATTGAATTTATTTCCCATGGGCTCGAACTACATCATGTGATGTCATACGAATTATTTTAATGCATTCGTTCATTTTGTTATAACTTTTTGGGGATTTTTGACATTTATGTCCATTCAGAGATTAATATACATCCGAATTTCCAAAAAATCTAATTCGCAAGCAAAAATTGATTCATTTTGAAAGAAAATGGTCATATCTACCTGTAAAAACCTTGCTTGTGTAGACATCCAAAACGCCCAAGACTACTCCTGGGAGCCTCCGTCTTGCAATGTCAGCAGCCCCAGCAGACTCAGAGCTGTCATTGAAGTGACACTTTATAATATTTCCCTACATTTCTCCCTTGGCTGCTACATAAAAGATGCAGGGGTGAAGGGAGGATTGATGGAGCTTGGCCAGCACAGACAGTAGATAGACATTACCAGAAGACGAGAGGACATATGACATGCAAAGAGGGAGGGGTGGGGGTGGGATCTGTGCTAGGGAACTCACTCTTCCTGGAGTACTCAAATTTGTTAGCAATTTCAAGAGCACATTGCATGTAAAAAAGTTTACTATTGGAAGTGAGAACTAAATCAATTAAGCATTCAAAATCTTGCTTGTTCTGTACTTAT